AGTTCGCTCAAGCTCAGTTCTTTGGTAGGCCAGGCAGGAGATGCCTGACGGAAGTGACAAAGCATGCCTACACTGGCAGGTCGAAACTCTCGTTGATAGCCAAGGAACGACTTGAAGAGTTCGGCAAGTTCCTTGAATTGGCTCAACCGAGGTTGGTGGGGCAAGTGTCGTGCAGCACGTTCATGATCCTGACGGACGCCGCCTTCGAAGCCGAATCCGGAACTGGAGGGTTGGGAGGAGTGCTCCTTATCGGATCGGGATCAGCAATCTCCTTCTTCAGCGTGCCGATATCAGAGCATCAGGCTAAGTGTATGTCACTACACGACGAGCATACTATCATTTACGAGCTCGAAGTGTTTGGAGTTCTGGTTGGTCTCAAACTTTTGGTTGAGAGAACGGCTGTCTTTGCAGAATCGTATGAACAGCCAGGTGCTACTGCTGGCACTGGTGTTGTTTGCTATATTGACAATGATGCTGCAAGACACGCTTACATTTCGGGTTCGTCCAAAAAGGGAGTTGCTGGGATCTTTATCGACGAAGTCAACTTTCTGGAGTATGTTCATGGCATCTTGCCGTGGTACGCGAGAGTGGCATCACCTGCCAACTTAGCTGACGAACCGTCGCGGATGAAGCTTGACCGAGTCAGGAAGTTAGGATTTAAGGATGAGTCCGTCGAAGCGACTAAAGTTACTAAAGCGGTACTATCGATTGTGAAGAGAGTTTCGAAGTTGCCTGCTTGACACCAGTCAGTGGGGACAAAAAGAGTCTAGTGTCTCACAGGACCGACAGTTCGAATCTGATACCTGCCGTGTGCGGTACTTTCTACCCCACTGTGTGAAAATAGCGTTGAGCTCTGAACGTCTTGCATGCGACATGTTGTGAGTGCAAGCATTCATCCCTGAAGGCTCAAACACGACAGACAACACAATACAAAGCACGGTCTGAGAACAATAAGTTTTGTTCTTTGAATACTTGGAGAAGATAGAGCTTTATTGTTCGAAGAAAATCAACATGACAAAATAACTTAGAGAACTAAATCAATTTTTGTTTGTTGTTTTAGGGCTTTCATTTTACATCGCTCATTTCGGTTGAGCCTTCGTTATCATACATGTCTGTTGATTCAAGTGAAGAATGCATTCGCTGGTTGCAGCGAGACCTCTCAAGGGGCTGGAAGCCCGGGATAGAAGTGATAGATTTTATTTGAAATCCCCACCCTCGCCACCCTGTTTTTCTTTGCATGCTGCATACTTGTTGAAGAAGTCATATCATTCTTCTGCTACCTCAGGACGGCTTGATCTCCGTTTGAGGTCACTCAGGTGTGCCTGGTGCATTCAGGACCTGGCTCGGGTCTTTGACCTGTTACTTCTGCAGTTAGTTCGGCTTTGCTTGTCTTCGACTTGCAGGCCGTTCACTAAGGTTCAGTATGTGAGTTGTGCACGGCCTGAGAGTGGCTAGTACCCCTTCCGGGGGGCAAAAAGAGTCTTGTGTCTCACAGGACCGACAGTTCGAATCTGATACCTGCCGTGTGCGGTACTTTCTACCCCACTGTGTGAAAATAGCGTTGAGCTCTGAACGTCTTGCATGCGACATGTTGTGAGTGCAAGCATTCATCCCTGAAGGTTCAAACACGACAGACAACACAATACAAAGCACGGTCTGAGAACAAAAAGAGGCCGGCTTGTGCGGCTTCTTCGGAGGCTTGGGCAGCCAGGAGATCTGGAAAGCAGTGAGGCCGTGGAGAGCTCACCTGACTCAACCTCCCGGTTGAGGACATCTGCGATAAACTGATGAGCTTTGGGACCCAGAGATCGCCATGCCACGACCGGGGGGCTATCTTTGGGGACTGCTTTGCCAACTAATGGTCATAAGCTATTCCCAAACTTCTCTGGGATCCGGCCCTGAACCAAATTGATCCAAGGAGTACTCCTCTATTTGTCTACGCTCCTCGACGGCAGTGAGAAATCGGCCCTCATCTCTCAGTTGCACCCGTTCCTGAGGCTTGCCCCCAGCGAAATCTTTTGATAACCTTGTGAAGCGAGTGACTGCCATCCTGCCTGGATTTGTGCTCCGATTGAAGGAGCTGGGAGTCAAGCTCTTGTTGGCGGCGTTCTTGCTTAAGCTGTTTGGCTTTCTTGGCTTGAGGGCTTTGTGCAGCAAGCGAGTGTCAGCAGCGAAAGACGAGGCGAAGCTGCAAATCGGGGGAGGGACTCAGCTATGATTTTAACAGTGATTGGCAATGATCTCAGGGCTGCTCTTGCTTCCCAGATGCTGACATCAGGCTTTGGAGATCTATTGCTACGTTTAGGGAAGTGCTCTCGAAGTGCAGCATTCATGGCTTGATTGAGAACCCCAACTCTGAGGAAGGCCAGTCAGGGCAGAGTCTTCTCGCAATCCACATGCCTCTACTCGATCAGAGCGTTGCCTGTAACAGTCTTCCATGATTTGCTGATCATAAGGCTTGGCTTCAGGAGCGGAGTAACTCCTGCTGTGCTGTATCTTGCCTAGAAGAGGATAATGTTTGCTGCCATCGCGCCACTGAGTGGTTGACATTGCTTCCCAGGTCCTTTCGATTGTGCTATTCTAACGAAAGAGAAGTCAATCTGAGAGATTGAGTTACCTTGGGAATGAGTGGCAGGTCTACGTACTCCCCAGTGTTAGATGCCACAAGCTGATGCTCCCCCAATAGTCGCTGGAGATCCTTAGTGCCTCGGTGCCCCAGACGGCAGGTCTGTATGGTGCAGAGACCAAGCAGTGTGTTTCGGTTCGGTAGGGCTCTCAGTGCTCTGTCAAGTGACTGCAGCGTCTGTTGCCGCATTTGCTTGTTCTGTTCCACCGTCTCTTTTGAGCGCCGGACGAATTGATAACAGCTGAAGACATCTAGAGAGATGCTTTCGCCGGGAATTCAGACCTGCAGGAGGCGCCCTGGCATAACTTCGTTATATCGGATAGCCTGCTGCTTGCAGAAAGAGGAGTGCGCCATCACAAGGACTCCTGCTCCCTTCTCTGCTGTAGAACCCGAACTAAGCACCTGCCATCCCTGATTACTGAACTGCCAGCTGCCTCTCCAATGAGTCTCATGAATGGCGACAATTTTAACCTCTTGATAGGGAGGAGTCCGGAGCACGGAGAGCAACTCTTCCCAGGCTGCTGTGGTTAGAGAGCTTGCGTTCCATGATAGGTAAGCTATCCGCTGCCCGAATTGAAATGTTGAAGAAGAGTACCTCTTGCTGGAGGTGTTACGTGTACCCTCAGCTGGAGTAGCTCCTAGCTCTGTCGATGACATCCTTCTCCCTTTGTACACCGCACTTCCTTCCTGCAGAGCCTTGCGTGCCGCCTTCTAGTCAGAACTTTTACCCTTCCCTTGGGGAGTTGGCGGAGTAGGCTTGGTCGATACACTAGGCTGTTTCGCAGTACTCATACTGAGCCCTGCTCCTGTCGGCTGCAACTGATAGTGAACTTTAGATCTAGGAGCTCCATCCCGGAGTTGGGACCGGGAGTGCTCAGGCGCTGACAAGCGCCATGGCGAGGAAAGGAGAAAGCAACTGTGCTAGCCTGACTTTCCCTGAGCCGAGAAGCTTACAACCGCAACAACCACGACAGCAACAACAACAACAACAGCAGCAACAGCAGCAGCAGCAGCAACAGCAACAACACAGGCAGCAGCAACAGCAACAACGCAGGCAGCAGCAGCAACAACTGCCACAAGCGGAAGTATTCGCTCAAAGTTGGCGGAATCTGCTATCAGTTCAAGCATGTTTCAGCCCACCGATCTTCCTGCCATCCGATCGGTGCAGAACCATATCTACAGACGTGAGTCGGCCGAGGGTAACACTTCCTGCGCCGCATACCGCATGGATCAAGATCTCAAACGCTCTGGCTTCGACCCAGTTCGATATCCGTGGTCCATGGTTCGACGAGCACCTCGTGCCATTTCGGCAAAGATGTGTTGCCACTCCATGAGCAACCAGCCATGAAGGGACGCCAACCAGCAGAGAACTTTCATGATCAGAATGTGCCCGTTGTCTTCCATGAGATGTTGGCCAATTGCTCCCTCATCAAATCGGTTTTACTGGTGGCGTTCACAGTCTGTCACAATTTTTAATCCGTTTCAATGACAGGACTCGCAAAGCATTGGCCCGCTTTAGGTCTGAGTCCCTCTACACTTGCGATGCACAAGTACCTTCACCGGCTGATTTTTTGTCTTGTCATATCTCTGTGCACGTACGTCAATGTGAAAAGGAACGTGAACCGAAACTTCCTTGGTGAGAAGGTGGTGCGAACTGCTCGGAGTTGAGAGTCTAAACGTGGTTCGGAGTTTAAAGTCTAAGGCCTCTAAGGCCTCTAGGGTTTAGGGTTCGGAATGTAGAGTTTACGTCCAGGGTTTAGGGAGATGCGCTCCTGAATTCTCGGGCCCAGGTCGCAACTGCCAGACCTTCACGAGTGCTGCGTGGGTCCAGTGGGGTATTAGGGTTTAGCCAAAGCCGGTGGTTCACGGATGATGGGGATGAAGGCCGAGGGTTTTTCTTCAGTCTCATCTTTCGGCTGCTTTATTGTTGCTCTTACTGCGAAGAAGCCCCATTCCACATGATGAGTAGTGAGTCGTGTGATTTCCTCCAGGATTGGCCCCCCTACATTCCGAGTTTTTTCTCTCATACCTTGCAGGTAGCGCCCCTGCGTCGTGATGACGTCTTGGCATAACAGCACTTACAATGGGCCTTTCTCCAGCCTCCATGTTGATGTCGATAGCCCACCTCTCTCAGCACACGGTCAGAGCATGCCAGTGCTTGCCCCGGCCTTCTCCCTGGTCGCAGAACTACTGGGTGCTCGCTTGTAGGACATCGTAGCACGATTAGCAGCCCCCCACTCCCTGCGATTGGCGGTATGTGCTTCCGCAGCGGGCTCAACAGCCAAAGCTGTTTCACACAGTCGGACTGCAACAGCAGTGCAGCGGCATAGTTTCGGGGCCTTGAGTCCTAGCCATTTGTCCAAGACCGCTGCTCATGAACTGGGGATTGCTGGGGGCGTTCAGTGCAGCCACCATTCTGGGTGCGATGTTTAGCTCGTATGTGCCATTTGTCGTTCCTAATGTATATACGCGCAAGACTGTGAGAGAGCTGCTTCGCGCCGACGAAATCGCGATCAGCAAAGAGGCAGCCCCCACCACTGCCGCTACCAGTACCACTACCACTACCACGACCAGTACAAGTACCACTACCACTACCAAGACCAGTACAAGTACCACTACCACTACCACTGCCACTCCCACTACCACTCCCACTACCACTACAACTACAACGATGACTACGACGACCACTACGACGACCACTACGACGACGAGTACGACGACGATTGCTACTCCACAGCTTCTTCGAAAACATGCTGGGCTGTACCTGGACAAGACCCGCGCACCCGAACTGAGCAATGCTCTTCTTCTTACGGCCGCGAACTACGGCTACATGGACATGCTGCGGAACTGGGAGTGCTATGCAGGAAAGCTCGGTTTGGATTGGCTTGTCGTTGCACTAGACGACCAAGTCTATCAAGAGCTTGGTCCAGAACGCAGCTTTCTTACCGTTGGCGAGCGCCACGGGTCCTACGAACGCTATGGAAGTCCTGGTTTCAAGATTGTGGCATGCAATAAGCTGCGGTCAATGTTGTCTGTGCTTGTGGAGACGCAGCTGGATGTGGTGTTCTCAGACGGCGACAGTGTGTTCAAGAGCGACCCATTCCTCCCGTCACTTTCGCTCGGAAGTATGATGCGCTCGGGGAAGTACGACATGATTTACGGACGCCAAATCTGGCCACCGGGGCCTAGGACCGACGAGCACCACCAAGAACCGACGAAGGGCAACACTGGCTTCTACTATGTGTCAGGTGGAAGGAAGCCGCAAATCATGCAGCGCATGTTCAACATCAGCATTCAGTGGTGCGACAAGCGGCCCAACCAAGATGACCAAGATAATTTCTGGGACGCACTTGTGGTCGAGCGGAAGCGGAAGCCAAAAGACAAGGAGTTTTTCGCATGTTTCCGGCACTGCGACAGCACTCAATGTGCAGGCGTGGTAGGGGACGCAGTCTTTGACTATTGCGACATGAACCCATGGGAATACATCGATGGATCCGTCGCTCCCAGACTTGCTTTGCAGGAACCGTACCACATGGTGTCCTATCACGCCACGTGGGTTCTTGGCAAGCACAATAAACAGGAGAAACTGAAGATCGTTGAGCTATGGGACCCTGCATGTACCAGTAAAGCCTTCATTGGTACCGCCACCACCACCACCACCACCACCACCACCACTACCACCACCACCACCAGCACCGCCACCGCCACCGCCACCGCCAATGCCACCGCCACGGCCACTGGCACGGCCGTGACAAGGACGACAGCGACTACTACTACAACGGCTCTGTCTGCTCCTGGTTTTCCCTCCGGTGGCGGCTTACTCAATGCTGAGGAAGATGTTGAGTTTGCTCAGCCTCTTAGCCGCGATGTTACACTGGACATACCGCCTGTGTTCAAATGCAATCCCTTCGATCACGTGCGCCTTCGCTGCACTACTCCTGTTTTGTTCTTCCAGCCGGCAAAGCTCACATGCACCCTATCTGCCGTCCAGGCTGAACCCCCATCCTAACCAAAACGTAAGGCAGGGGCCTTAACAATTAGAATAGGGTTTGGGGATTATAATATACCATAATAAAAATGAGGAACATCCAAAATAGTATAGGGAAATATTAACGCCTCTATATATATATATATATATATATATATATTTATATATATATATATATATATTTATATATATATATATATATATATATATATATATATCAGGCTGGCAATCAACCTCGAGGGCCCAGGCGGAGAATCACGGCGCAAGCATATTCTGGGAGAGTTGGAGAAGGCAGGCTTGCGAGGAAGGTTCAAACTGTGGCCAGCCGTCAACTTTCTCACAGATGAAGGGGGGCTGGCCGAAGAGACTCAAAAGAAGAAACACCCGAAGTGTCCATGCGATCCGAAGATGAGCAATTCACTAAGTCATAGGCGTATATATGAGACTATGCTTGCTGAGCAGTGGGCATGCGCGACGATCTTTGAAGACGATGCGACCCTCGCTGAGAACTTCACGCCCAGGGTCAAAAGTGTTATCGATAGCATCCCACCGTTCGATGTTATTCTGTGGGGGCATTGTCCAGGTGGGGGCAAGCCCCGGCACGGGCCCAAGGATCAGAGCTCAGTTCCCATACTTCGATACGGCTGGCCAGGTTCGTGCCTACACGCCTATACTGTCAGTCTTCAGGGCGCCCTGCTAATGACACAAGCAAACATGCCTGTGCACACGCCAGCTGATGGAGCTATGGACCACAAGCACTGGCATGATCGGACGAGGTTGCATGGCGACAGGTCTGGTGGCCGTTACGGCGTCGTCCCTGCCTCTTACTGGTTCGCCACTCCGCAGCTGTCATGGCAAGGGGCAGACGCCTTGGAGGGAGGAACCCTTTAGCCTTTAGCCGTTCTGGCAAAGTAGAAGAGATATGAGCTTTGCAGCACCAGAACGAAGCTGAGCAGCCGAAAGGTAGCAAGCGTGGCGCTGGCTGTCTTCGAACATGTTGTGCGCAGAATGTCGTGCACTTGTAGTTAGTCTTGCCGCCCTCAGAAGCAGTGGCGACTTGTGCGATCCAGCCGGAAGAGATGTACGGATGGAATATTTGCAGCCCTCACGTTCATGGGTTTCATGGTTTCTGAAGTTCAAGCTTCTCGTTCTCCCGATGCAGCTTTCTCGGCGAGCCACCGCGTCCCCTGCAAGTGACACTGATATAGGCTTAAATACACATTAATTACCTATACTATTTCGGGGGGGTCCTCATTATAATTATTGTCTAACAGGCCCCAAGACCCTGTTCTAATTTCTAAGGCCCTCTATTAGACAACTAAAGACAGAGATCCCCGTAGACTCGTAGAGTCTAGCGCTCAGCAGGTGAGGTTAAAGCTCATAACTTTCTGTTGCTTCCCGAAACTAATGCGTGTTCGGTTCATGATTCGATGTATCGTCCCGAGGCCCTAGGCTATATGTTCCCTAAAGCCGAAACTCAGACCCATTACTCATCCGAGCCGCCTTCAGAGTGTCGTCTGTAGAGTTTGCGTGTGACACCGATGACGCACTGTCTTACGGATTATGCTTTCTACCCCAACCTACTCTTTTGTAGGGTTTCGTGGTACAGGTAAACGCCAAGACCAAAAAGTCTATCTAAGGGCAGAGGCGGTAGAGAGTTAAGTAGAAGGCTGAGAAGTACAAGTCGAGCCTTATTTCCCAAACCTTGAAAAAACCTAAACTTCGAGCCACAATTAAATCCGGCAGCCCTCATATTTCTTTGAAAAAACCTCTGGAGGTGTTGCAGGGCGATCAATGCTACGCTACTAGTACGGATTCGAACCCCTGTGGGGTGCTCCGCGGTTTTCACGGCTTGGGGATGCCGACCCTCGTGGGAACTTTTGTTGTTTGCGCAAGCATTGGCTCAAAGCATCACCAGGGTCGGCATGCTGTTCTGAGGCAGCACATGCAGGATTTGTATGGTCATTACCGTGAAATGGCATATGCACCACTTGATTCACTGCTACAACACGATGCAGATAAGAAGAGAAGTAGGTTTAGTTTTTGTTTGCGAGTTTCGCTAACGTGTGTGTTTCGTGTTTGTGTGTGCGTAAAAAGACCGCGACATGGCAATGTGGTGCCGCACGGCCCTTGTTGTAGCGCTACTGACGACGTGGGCAAGCAGTTTGGACGCGCCATCGAATCTGGTGGTCGTGGGAGGATTTCCGGCATGCGGCATACCACAGATCTACAGCCTTCTGGAATCGCATCCGAACATCGTCACCTTTTCAATTCAGATAGGTGCACTGCCCAACCTGCAGACGGAGTTTGCGGAGTCAGTCTTCGCCCTGGCAAAAGCGCTGCAAGTCCCTACAAACCATTCCCTAACAACAGTTTGCGAGCAGTTCAAGTCTCAAGCGCCGACCTTCAGAGAATGCGGTCGTCTCGTGCAGACGATCAGGGGTTGGTACAACACGTCCATGCCAGCGACGCTGGTCGTCACCGACCCCTCCTTCTTTGACAAGCAGGTGGGGGCAGGGTCTCCAAAGCGGCTAAGTAAACCGAACCATTCCGAACCCCAAGACCGTCCAAAATCCAAAGCCCAAAACGACATCCCTGACAGATGCTTGCATCACGCTGGCCGGGGAAAGTCAAGCTGCTCTTCGCGGTGCGGGAGCCGGCGGACTTCTTATGGGCAGCCTACAACATGTGGACGCTGGCCTCTGCTTGCTTCCGGGTTCAGGGTTTTCTAGAATTCATGGGGTCATTGTGGTCATGCTGCTTAGAATGTTACATGTAGGGTTTGCGTTGAGGGTAGAAGGGTTTTTGGTGTTGATAGCTTTCAAAGGGTTTGCGGGGGTTAAAAGGCTTGACTTGTAGCGCTGATAGTGTTTTTCGGCTTCAGAGGGGGGGTCCAGAGTGTATATGATCGGCTCTTGGTCTTAGGGTTTTGTTACTTGAGCTTGGGATTTCGGGTTCTATTGGGAGCAGCTCCCAGCTTCTGCACAGCAGCCTCATGATTTGTTTTTTGCGTCCTTTTTTTTGTTGTGGGGTCGGGGACCGGAAGGCCCGAGCTAAGTTGCTACACCCGATACCTGAAGAATCCTGAAGACCATTAGTTTGCAAGAATGTTAATGTATAAGGTGCCCAAGGACCCTATCGTAATTTTTACGGCTCCTGTATGAGGATAAGTAGAGAAGAGCTCTCTACCTGCAACCCAGGGCGCTGCCAGGCGAGCCGAAAGCCAACAGCCAGGATGGAAGGACGGTGATGAACCTTGGACGCACCGAAGAGGTACTCGTGCAACCCAGGGATTCCGAACGTGTCCTTACATAAAGTTCTCCTCAAAAGATACTACGAAGACCGCGGCACTATAGTAGGGGTCGTAGTGACTAGAAAAGTAGCCCTCGCACTTGGGCTTCACATAGAAGCATGCTGCGGTTTGCACGCCTTGTTTACGTCGGCTTTTGTGCAAACCCCAAATCACAGACCGTAGAGGGTTTGCAAGTTTGGGGCCGGGGCATCGTGGAATTGATAGCTGTTGTAGTCTTTGGGTTACATAGGACTTAGCTTCATGGGAGACATGACAGGCCAATGAGGAGGTTCGAAACCTCAGGTTGTATGAAAGCTCTGCTTCAGGAAGACTCACGTCCGCAGCCCTGAGCTTTTCGACGAGTTGGTCTTGGCTGACGGCCAGAAAGAGGCCTGGGCACCCAGGGCCAACAAGATCACTGGCCAGTGGTTCGACCAGATCAAAACCGTGAAGGACGTCTCCGCGAACCTCCTCTTCTTGAAGTCGGAGGACTAGTCATGTGGGTTTACAAGACTGTTTTTGTCGTTTTGTGTTCTGTGCGGGTGTGAGTTTTGGATACATATGTGGGCGTTTCGATCGCTTGATATACGGGACCACCTTCTCCCCCAGACAGGGTTTATCTACCATGAAGACAGGACAGTCCTTGAAAGAACCTCGTTCATAAAAGCCAAGACGTTGAATTCGCACTTGGACATCCGAGCTGTACTGATTACCTGTTCATCCTACTTCCTGCAGTGCGGCAGAACCGCGCAACGATGCTGTCCTATGCAAAACCTCTGACTCGTAAATGCTGCACCCAGCAGACCAAGATCGGGGTCTTTGAACTTGAAGGTTTTGCATAGTCAAGCATGCGTAAGCTTCTGTCTAACCCCCCATCGTGCATGTGTAGGGGGAGGTTCGGAAAACAGGACAACTGTAGCCATACAACTATACAGCCCTATCCGCCCTTGCTGTTGAATCTGGTACGATCCCCAGGACAAGGACTGCGCTTCAAAAGGAATCCGGTTCTGAGAACTCCCGAAAGCCTTGATGAGCTCCTGTAACATCCCTATAAAACCTGGACAAGACTTTTAGGTTTGGGTTTAGGGTTTAGGGTTCTGAACTCGACAATTACGGCTCAGCAGAGCTTAGCTCCCAGCCGTCCTCTCTGTGGAAACTGGGGTTTCATTAGGATGTTGGTGAGTGTACGTGGGGCTCCTCCGAAATGTCGGCGAGTGCAATGTTGGGTGCTATACTGGCGATACTGATTATATCTTATCTCATGAAACTCCTCAGAACGGTTCGAACGGTTTAGGGCGTAGGTTTGAGAACTCTGTAGGGCCCAACAAGTCTTGAAGAAGCCGAAGTGTCTTTCGAGCCCGCAAGCCGTGTTGAACATCTGCCCATAGCTTCCAAAATCCCTTACTAGGATCCATATCATGATTTAAAGTATATTCCTCATTTAAGGGCTTTTGGAGGCTCCGGGTGCGTTGGTATAGTTACCACCCTAATCCCTCAAGCCTATGGCTGTCGAAGGATTTCTTAGACAATGTGACCGCGAATTTGGCAAGAATGGGCTCGTTCTTTGGAGTGAACGCGTCGCTGTTTTCTGACAAGGCGCACGAGGTTTGTAGGCGTCACCTTTTTCATCGTTTCAGTTTCTGTGGCTTAGGTCCAGGCATATGAGGTCTGAGCCTTTGCTGTTCCGTTTCACGGGCCTCAGAGCACCAGCTGTCAAATTCCTTTGCTTCACATGCTCCGATGCGAAGAGTTCGATTCGAAGATAGTCAGAGGGTACGACACCAGTAGCACAACATGAAATCTCAAACAACAAAGCCCGAACTCTCCAGCCCAGGATAAACAGAAATTGAACGCAGAGGGCCTTGGGCAGCTTTCATGTATATCGAGTTCCCCAGCACAATCGCAAGCTCTGAAGCCCTCGCCTGTTAGCCTATAGCTCAGGTGTGATGCCGTAGCGTTGCGAAGGTGTTGCGGCAAGGTCTCACGAGCACATGAGCACACGAGCACACGAGCAACTCAGAGCGATACCACTGCAAAATGTTTTTGGTCCAGTGGTCCTCGGCATGGAATCCTTTCGGGACCCTAAGACGTCTTGAAGTGCCCAATGCCCAAGCGCCCGGAGGTGGCCTATACTGGTCTGCGTCTCGCCCTTGTTCCGGGGGGGGGGCGGGTTCTGGTTTGGTTTTAGAGTTGAGGGCTTGTAGTTTTGGGAGCAAGGCTTTAGGTTTACTGAAGCTTACTTCTGTCGGATCGTAGAAAATTGCGGCCTGGGGCTTCTCAGAAGGTTGGGCTTTGACGGTCTTGCGTAGGCTTTGAGGGGATGAGGCTAATTGACTGTTAATCGAAAGGGTGCATTTTTGGTGTCGGTGACAGCCTTGCAGTCCAACCAAACCATGTCAAGGAAACCAGATGTCTAATGTAGAGGTCCTATTGTTAAGGCCCCTGTATTGTCGTCCTTGTGTCTTCCTTGTAGGGTGTGTTTCGACTGCCCGGCACTGTCTGCAACGCAACCCAGGCTGACAGCGTATCAGATCTCTGGGTGGAGGCCCATGCTGTGCAAGACGAGGCTTTGGGGAGTTAAACCCTAAACCCTAAACCCTAAACCCTGGGTTGCCGAACCAAGTGTTCAGCACTAACATTCAGTGAGAGCGGTGGGTTGGCCACTGCTGTTTTGAATTGCCAGGCGCTTCATCTACTCCAAGACGCGAGATGTTTGCGAAGAGTTGGATTCCTTCGGGGTTCACTACAGTGCCTGCCTGGGAGAGCCCGACGAATGTGTGGACCCCGCGCCTGGATCATTCACGACGCCTCTGCCGGGAAGCTTTCCGCGTTTGCCAGCCTTTGCCTCTGCTTTGAAGGCGCATAGGGCGGCTTCAACTTAGAATTTTAATGAGCCGCATACTCTATGCAACAGCCTGCATGCCCCAAAACCACCAGCCGACAAGTTGAAACGCTGCATGCATGCACCGAACACAGCATCACGAGCCTTCTTACCCACGAGGAGCCCGGACCATCGAATCTGGTGGTTATCGGAGGATTTCGGACCTGTGGCACGAAACGGATCTACAGCCTTCTGGAATCTCATCCGAACATCGTCACCCTTTCGATTCAAGTAGGTGCGCTGTCAAATCTGCAGGCGGAGTTTGAGGAGTCAGTCTTCGCTCTGGCAAGAGCCCTCCAAGTCCCCACTGGTCGTCCCTTGCAAGAAGTGTGCGAGCAGTTCAAACCTCAAGCGCCGATCTTCAGAGAGTGCGATCGTCTCGTGAAGAAGAAAAAGGGCTGGTACAACACGTCCATGCCAGCGACGCTGGTCGTCACCGACCCCTCATTCTTTGACCAGCGAGTGGCTTGTTCTGGAACAGAATGTATCAGAAGCTAGCAAAGCTTTTCAGGACCGAATCCGAATCTGCTCGAAACAGAATCCTGAAACGATATCCCTGACAGATGCTTGCATCACGCTGGCCGGGCAAAGTCAAGCTGCTCTTGATGGTGCGCGAGCCTGCAGACTTCTTATGGGCAGCCTACAACATCTGGACGCTCGTGTCTGTAGCATTCGTGATGTTCGGTACTGTCCGTCTAACCGTAAAGCTTGAAAGCAAACCTAAACCCTAAACCCTAAACCCTAAACCCTAGAACCTAAGCCTTTCCTGCAACCGAGGGCACTGCCGGGAGAGCCGAAGGGGCAAGAGGGCAGGACTGGGAACCTTGGGAGCAGTGGCCATAACTGGGTTGCTATAAAGGGAACTCCAGAAAGTTGGAATATGGATAATGGTAGGATCCCCTATAATTTACCTGAAAGGGGTTACGATAATGATATTCCAACTTTCTGGCTTCTACTGTAACTGGGTTGCTTTAATGGGATACTATCAGGCTCACTGCGGGGGATAGGGGAAGGGTTCCACAAAGAGACAGGTTTGGAAGGCCAGATGATGCACAGGAACGGGAGCTGCAGCCCCGAAACCTTGTACATGTCATCGCAGCTGTAGCTCATTGTCGGGGAGTTGATAGGCCTTACAGTGTTCGTGGCTGAGGTGATTGTCTAGCTGGGCAGTGATGGCTCTTTCGGAGCCAGGGGTGTTTTTGAGGGCTTTCGTAGGACTTATGGCTTCTGGCTTCCGGATTCTGCCACTTCAGGAAGACTCACGTCCGAAGCCCTGAGCTTTTCGACGAGTTGGTCTTGGCGGATGGGAAGAAGGAGGCCTGGGCGCCCAGGGCCAACAAGATCACAGGGCAGTGGTTCGACCAGATCAAGAATCTGAGCGGTGTCTCCGCGAACCTCCTGTTCTTGAAGTCTGAGGACGGCTCGACGGTGTGGTGATTTCTTTGGTTACAGTACCGTATTCCGAAGGCAAACCATTTTAATCCCAAATGCGGAAACCTCAAACAAGAATCATATTGTGGAAGGCGCTGGGTATGCGAAACTGTGGTTCGGAGAGTGCGGACGTGTAGCCTAAATCCCCAAGAGCCGCTGGGTGCCACCGGACAGGATCTTGCGGCGAATTTGACCGCAACCTTGGCGAGAATGGGCTCCTTCTTGGGGGTGAACGCGGCGCTGTTTCCCTACGAGGCGGTATGCATGGCTTTCGACTTTCGTTGTTCGGGGTTTAGCATGTGCGAGGGGGTTGCAGTTCGGATATTCCATGAAGCGCTATACACTGTGTTGCATGACGTTCGCAGCTTCACGGGTTAAGCTTCCGGGTCGGAGGTTTCGTTCGTTTTGAATGTTCGAAGGCTTTCTCCACAGCCAGCTGAGACAAGTGATTGCAGAAACTCCACACCACGAGCCCTTCGCCCTGAGGTGACAGACGGCTATACCAACTCACTCGCGGCGCGCGTCGCACGGACACATGTGCTGCTCTCCGGGGAGTTGTGGGGGAGGTTCAGGTTGATGCCTGGGGATATGTGGAGTCCAGGCGCTCAGGTGTTGCGTTTTGCTTGGGTAACTTTGGTCCTTTCTCCATAGGTCTGTTGTTCTTCGACGCATTGCTGTGCGCTGAGGTTTTTTTCTTTGCTAGTCTGCTTGTTGCTGGCATCCGCCCAGAAAAGGTATCAGATTTCTGGGTGGAGGCCCATGCTGTGCAGCACGAGGTGGCTCGGCGGAGCTGGGTTCGTGTTCTACTCGTAGGTGATGTGACGCCCTCAGACAGCTTAGAAGGCTTAAAGTCTAGATTCTGGGTGTGCTGAGCGGAAGTGACGGCCTCTGCTTCTTGCGTTGCCAGGCGCTTCATCTACTCCAAGACGCGGGATGTGTGCGAAGAGTTGGATTCGTTTGGGGTCCACTACAGCGCCTGCCTGGGCGAGCACGACGAATGCGTGGACCCCAGAAAGGAGGCAAACGCTTCCGCACCATCGAATCTGGTGGTCATCGGAGGGTTTCGGACTTGTGGCACGAAGCGGATCTACAGCCTTCTGGAATCTCATCCCAACATCGTCACGCTTTCAATTCAGGTAGGTGCGCTGCCCAATCTGCACATGGAGTTCGAGGAGTCAATCTTCGCACTGGCGAAAGCCCTCCAAGTGCCTACCGGCCGTCCCTTGATCCAGGTCTGCGACGAGTTTGAATTCAAAGTGCCGACGTTCACAGAGTGCGATCGTCTCGTGAAGAAGATAAAGGGCTCGTACAACACGTCCATGCCAGCGACGCTGGTCGTCACCGACCCCTCCTTCTTTGACCAGCGAGTGGCTTGTTCTTGTTCTGGAACAGAAGGTATCAGAAGCTAGCAGCAGTTGCAAGTTTTTCATGATTGAGCCCGGCCCGAAGCCACTCGAATCCGAAGCCCCCAAAACGAGATCCCTGACAGATGCTTGCATCACGCTGGCCGGGCAAAGTCAAGATGCTCTTGATGGTGCGCGAGCCTGCAGACTTCTTATGGGCAGCCTACAACATCTGGACGCTGGCCTTTGATGTCTCGAACTTTTGCAAGTGTAACCCCAGACCCTAAAACCAGAGCCTCAGCATTTTGCTGTGCCACCAAGGGCTCTACCGGCAGAGCCGAAAGTGCAAGATGGCAGAGCAGAGATGAACCTTGGACTTACGGGGGGTTGGAGTTCGGAAGGCCAGCAGAAGTCCACGCGTTGCGGCGGTTCGGGCTTTCTGCTGTGGGTAGGGCGGCGTGGAGGTTGCAGGCCCAAGGCTTCTGGCTTCCGGATTCTGCCACTTCAGGAAGACTCACGTCCGAAGCCCTGAGCTTTTCGACGAGTTGGTACTGGCGGATGGGAAGAAGGAGGCCTGGGCGCCCAGGGCCAACAAGATCACCGGTCAGTGGTTCGACCAGATCAAGAATTTGAGCGGCGTCTCCGCGAACCTCCTGTTCTTGAAGTCTGAGGACGGCTCGACGGTGTGGTGATTTCTTTGGCTACCATATTCCGAAGGATGAACTCTTTGAACCCAAACGCCCGAAGCCTTGGACCGTCAGTGCAGACAGGAATCTTCAAACCCGGCAGCTATGCTGGGTTGGATTCCAACACCTTCGAATAACAGCTATGTTAGTATCCTTACACAATTAAGGCATGGTTCCCAAGCTTGTGGTGGTTCGGATACTGCGCACATATTTTCGTATAGCCTCAGACCCCGGAAAGGATCTTGCCGTCAACTTGAATGCAACCTTGGTCCGCATGGGCTCCTTCTTTGGCGTGAACGCGGCGCTGTTTCCTTACGAGGCGCGCAGAGCCAGCGCCAGAGCCTTCCTGGGCGCGAGTCTTCGAGACTTTCGTGGTTCGGGGTTCTTCTTGATTGGGGTTTGTGGCCGTGTGGTTCAAATTTCTAGGGTTTTGACATTTCAGGTGTAGGGCCTGTTGCGGTTGCTCGGTCCAAAACTGAAAGTATCGCAGGCTCAGCCTAAGGTTCGAAGGCTTTGTTCGCTTTGAGCGTTCTAAATTCTTCCCTACGGTTCGGAACACTGGTCGCTGATGAACGTGTGAGCAGAACCCTTCACGCCATAGGCGCTTTGACGCCCTGTATCCGCCTTGTAGGCACCCTGAGCCTTTGAGGTGACGGACGGCTATGCCAACTCACTCGCTGCGCGTGTCGCACGGACACCGGTGCTGCTCATCGGGAAGTGGCAGGTTAAGTTTGAGGTCTGGGGATGTGTGGAATCTAGGTGCTCAAATGTTGCGTTTTTAGTTGTGGGTCATCTTTCTTTAGGTCCTTTCATGGCTCTGTCGCTGGTCGACTTGTTGTTGTGTGTTGAGGTTGGCAGGAGTAGTCTCCTGTTGCGGGGCATGTCTTCCTCGTCTCTAAACCAGCCGGAATCATTTTGCCACCCATGCCAAACCAAGATGACCGTAGGTTTCGACCTTCTTTGCTCGTTTCTTTTGCTACGTATACCCGCAAGAAGCTACTCGTTGCTGATGAAGAGAGACGAAGAGAGACGAAGAGAGAAGGTATCCGATTTCTGGGTGGAGGCCCATGCTGTGCAGAACGAGGTGGCTCGGCGGAGCTGGGTTCATGTTCTACTCGTAGGGTGATGTGACGCCCTCAGACAGCTTAGAAGGCTTAAAGTCTAGATTCTGGGTGTGCTGAGCGGAAGTGACGGCCTCTGCATCTTGCGTTGCCAGGCGCTTCATCTACTCCAAGACGCGGGATGTGTGCGAAGAGTTGGATTCGTTTGGGGTCCACTACAGCGCCTGCCTGGGCGAGCACGACGAATGCGTGGACCCCAGAAAGGAGGCAAACGCTTCCGCACCATCGAATCTGGTGGTCATCGGAGGGTTTCGGACTTGTGGCACGAAGCGGATCTACAGCCTTCTGGAATCTCATCCCAACATCGTCACCCTTTCAATTCAGGTAGGTGCGCTGCCCAATCTGCACATGGAGTTCGAGGAGTCAATCTTCGCACTGGCGAAAGCCCTCCAAGTGCCTACCGGCCGTCCCTTGATCCAGGTCTGCGACGAGTTTGAATTCAAAGTGCCGACGTTCACAGAGTGCGATCGTCTCGTGAAGAAGATAAAGGGCTGGTACAACACGTCCATGCCAGCGACGCTGGTCGTCACCGATCCCTCTTTCTTTGACCAGCGAGTGGCTTGTTCTTGTTCTGGAACAGAAGGTATCAGAAGCTAGCAGCAGTTTCAGGTTTTTCGTGAGCCCGGCCCGAAGCCACTCGAATCCGAAGCCCCAAACGACATCCCTGACAGATGCTTGCATCACGCTGGCCGGGCAAAGTCAAGATGCTCCTAATGGTGCGGGAGCCCGCAGACTTCTTATGGGCAGCTTACAACATCTGGACGCTGGCCTCTGTAGTGTTGTGCTGTTTTGCACTTTCTTTAGTGGAGTCAGGGTTTCTAGTTTCTAGTCAGGAGACAGCTGTGTGGTTTGCAACCCAGGAAGCTGCCAGGCGAGCCGAAAGGTGGGAACCAGGATGGCAGCGCGGATGCGCGCCTTGGACGCACACTCAATGCCTCTAAACGAAGGAAGCCCATTTGCTTGGAGCCCAATTATTAACCGGCGGGTGTGCTGCGGGCTCAGGTCTTGTGTATTTCGATCCGACTAAACCCCCAATCGCAGACCGTAGGCGCTTTGCAAGTTGAGGCTCGAAGGTATTTGTCGTTATTGGTTTTGTCTGGCTCTCTGAAGGCTGAAGCTGTAGCGGTTGAGCCGCTTGCGCAGCTTCAGGAAAACTCACGTCCGAAGTCCTGAGCTTTTCGACGAGTTGGTCTTGGCTGACGGCAAGAAGGAGGCCTGGGCTCCCAGGGCCAACAAGATCACAGGGCAGTGGTTCGACCAGATCAAGAATTTGAGCGGCGTCTCCGCGAACCTGCTGTTCTTGAAGTCAGAGGACGGCTCGATGATGGGGTGAGTTTGTCGCCGAACTCCAAAGGGAAATCTAGAAGTCCGAAGCTTTCCATCTCTACATTCATGAGTTCCCACGCCCCAACCGTTAAAGCGGAGAGTCATGGAACATGCGAACGCCTTTGTGTTGCAGCCTTGGAGATGACTAACCTCATAAAAAATAGACAATTTGCACATTTTTAGCCTCTGAAAGGTTTGGAGTTCAACCTCAAATCCCAAGAGAACGGCCGCAAAGAGCGCCCCCGAAAAGGATCTTGCGGTCAACTTCAGCGCCACCTTGGCGCGCATGGGCTCGTTCTTTGGCGTGAACGCGGCGCTGTTTCCTTACGAGGCGCGGCCAGCGCCAGAGCCTTCATGTTCGTGGTTGAAGTTCGGGGTATCGGCAATTTCAAGGTTGCAGGAGCTTCCTTCATCTTCCGGCATTCGAGAGATTTTCTTGTCTTGTCGCCATTGCTTGGCAGATTGCAGGGAGTTCCTCGTAAGGTACCCCTCAGGTCGCAAGGATATCATAGAATCGTAGAAGATGGACCCGCTCCTGACCAAATTTGCGAACGCATGCGACAACAGCGGCCTAAAGCCCACAGAGGACACAACCACGCACTTGTCAGCGGACCCACAGAAGCCAGAAGTCAGGAAGCTGGTTCCTGAAGAACACGCCAAACCCGCCCATCGTTTCACTATTTCAGAGCGTTGCATAATCTCCTGCACAACCAACCCTTACTATCACCATCTGTGCATGAAGCCGGAGCCCTGCACTTTGAGGTGACGGAGGGCTACGCGAACTCACTGGCCGTGCGCGTCGCAAGGACACCTTTGCCGCTCGTCGTAGGGCTTCCCAGGGCAGATCCAGGTTGAGGTCTGGGGATGCATGGAATCAGGCGGTGCCCTTTGGGGTGGTTTCGAGTCTTTCGTCCCTTTTTTGGCATGGCCCCCGTCGTTGGTCGACGGGTTACTGCCGACGGCCCGTCCTGGCCGTAGTTGTCCGCCTCGCTTGGACCAGCCGGAATCATCTTGCAAGCCCATTCCAAGCCACGACGACCGTAGGTTTCGGCCTGCTTTGCTCGTTTGTCTTTTGGTACGTATACCCGCAAGAAGCTACACGTTGCTGATGAAGAGAGACGAAGAGAGAAGGTATCCGATTTCTGGGTGGAGGCCCATGCTGTGCAGCACGAGGTGGCTCGGCGGAACTTTTGGGTTCATGTTGTATGTGACGCCCTCAGACTGCTTAGAAGGCTTAACGTCCAGATTCTGGGTGTGCTGAGCGGAAGTGACGGCCTCTGCTTCTTGCGTTGCCAGGCGCTTCATCTACTCCAAGACGCGGGATGTGTGCGAAGAGTTGGATTCGTTTGGGATTCACTACAGCGCCTGCCTGGGCGAGCACGACGAATGCGTGGACCCCAGAAAGGAGGCAAACTCTTCAGCACCATCGAATCTGGTGGTCATCGGAGGGTTTCGGACTTGTGGCACGAAGCGGATCTACAGCCTTCTGGAATCTCATCCCAACATCGTCACCCTTTCAATTCAGGTAGGTGCGCTGCCCAATCTGCACATGGAGTTCGAGGAGTCAACCTTCGCACTGGCGAAAGCCCTCCAAGTGCCTACCGGCCGTCCCTTGATCCAGGTCTGCGACGAGTTTGAATTCAAATTGCCGACCTTCACAGAGTGCGATCGTCTCGTGAAGAAGATAAAGGGCTGGTACAACACGTCCATGCCAGCGACGTTGGTCGTCACCGACCCCTCTTTCTTTGACCAGCGAGTGGCTTGTTCTGGCTCTGGAACAGAATTTACCAGTTGCAAGCTTTTCGTGATTGAGCCCGGCCCGAAGCCACTCGAATCCGAAGCCCCCAAAACGAGATCCCTGACAGATGCTAGCATCACGCTGGCCGGGCAAAGTCAAGCTGCTCTTGATGGTGCGGGAGCCTGCAGACTTCTTATGGGCAACCTACAACATCTGGACGCTGGCCTCTGTGTGTTGTGCTGTTTTGCACTTTCTGTAGCGGAGTCCGGTTTCTAGTTTCCAGTCAGGAGACAGTTGTGTGCTTTGCAACCCAGGAAGCTGCCAGGCGAGCCGAAAGGTGGGAACCAGGATGGCAGCGCGGATGCGCGCCTTGGACGCACACTCAATGCCTCTCAACGAAGGAAGCCCATTTGCTTGGAGCCCAATTATTAACCGGCGGGTGTGCTGCGGGCTCAGGTCTTGTGTATTTCGATCCGACTAAACCCCAAATCGCAGACCGTAGCGGCTTTGCAAGTTGAGGCTCGAAGGTATCTTTCGTTAATGTTTTTGCCTGGCTCTTCGAAGGCTGAAGCCGTAGGGTTCGAGACTTCGGTTTTGCGGTTTGCGACAAACGGCTTCCGGTTGCGCCGCTTGCGCAGCTTCAGGAAAACTCATGTTCGCAGCCCTGAGCTTTTCGACGAGTTGGTCTTGGCTGACGGCAAGAATGAGGCCTGGGCACCCCGGGCCAACAAGATCACTGGCCAGTGGTTCGACCAGATCAAGAATGTGAAGGATGTGTACAGGAACCTCCTGTTCTTGAAGTCTGAGGACGGCTCAGTAGTGTGGTGGTGAGTTTTGGTGTCCAGTCTGTGTGGAATCTGTAAAACAGGACTGACTCACACGGTTCATGGAGCATCATCTTGGGACAAAGTCTCTCTCTAGTCTCTTTCGAGAGGTTTGCTTGTGTTTCCCAAATTTCTAGTCGTTTTGTGCTGCCTTGCAACACCTTGCAACTCTTTTTCAATTTTTTTCAAAATTTTGCTTGCACGAATTTCGCTAGTGTATCGTGAGAGGTTTGCTCGTCTTTCTCAAACTTTCTAGTCCATCTCCACTGGCTTGCGACTCCCTCTCAAAATCTTGCCTGCAATAAGTCCTCTTGTCTTTTTCGAGAGGTCTGCTCGTTATTTCTGAAAATTTTCCAGTCTCTTTCTACCGGCTGTTTACTTTTCTCAACATGCCACCTGCGTCTCATTCTTTCGAGAGGTTTGATGATGTTTCTTGAATTTCTAGTCCCTTTGTACTGGCTTGATACTCTTTCTCATAATTTTTCCTGCGTTCAGTCCTTGTTTCTCGAAAGGTTTGCTCGTGTTTCCAGTCCTTCGCCACTGGCTACTGTTCCTCAAAGCCTCGCCTGCTTGAGATTCTTTAGCTTTTTTTTAGTTTTTTGATTTTTTAAAGCTAACTTCTCAAGTGTTTCTGTTCAGTATCCACCGGGTTGCTTCTCTTTCTCAACGTCTCCCCTGCATTTGATTTAGTCTCTTTCGAGAGGTTCACTGCTGTTTCTCGAAGTTCAGTGCCTCTGCACTGCATGAGATTCTCAAGCTTCTGTCGAGAGACAGCTTTTTGTTCTTAATTTTTCTAGTTCCTCTCCACTTTCTTGCTATTCTTTCTCGAAAAGTTCCCAGTCTCAATTTCTTTAGTCTCTTTCGAGAGGTTTGCTCATGTCTCTCCGCTGGTGTTGGTCCTTCTCCACCGGCTTGCTACTCTTCCTCAAGATCTTCCTTTGCAGCAAATCCTCCAGTCTGTTTCGAGAGGTCTGCTCGTGTTTCTCACCCCACTTGCTTGCCAGCCTCTCTCAAATTTTTTTGCATCAAAATTTCTCGCTGCTTTCGAGAGGGTAGCTCAGGCTTTGCAGTTTTTCTGGTCCTTCTGCACTGATGCTCTAGCAGATTTGTGCATGTTTCTCAAGTTCTCCATTGGCTTGTTTCTCCTTTTTCAAAACCAATGGTCTCTTTCGAGAGATTTGCTGTTGGCAGTCTATTTTGATACACCACCGAGGCCCCGAACAGGTCCTGCACGAAGGCAGGCGGAGGCAAGCATCGAAACCCCAGCATTGGCCACCCGCACACAGTGCGAAATGTCGGCATTCGCTTTCAGCTTTGATTTGGAAAGAACCTTCAAAGTAACATCTTTCGGCGAACAAAGCCCCCTCAACAGGTATTCCAAACCCAGATAACGTTTCTATCTTATGGTACCTACTATTACTATTACCATTACCAAGTATCTTGCCTTTTCTGCCGTGACAAACAGAAGATAGCCTCGGGCAGAGACCTCGGAGGATTTGTCGGACGATCTGCGCGGAACTTTGGCGAGGATGGGCTCCTTCTTGCGGGTGAACGCATCACTGTTTCCTCACGAGGCGGCTGGGCTCTCGCGGGTTGGAGGGTTTGGAGCTTCAGCTTTCGGGTTTTATGGTTTACTTCATGTGGGCTTGGATCAGGGGTTTAGAGCTGAGGCTGAGGGATTCGGCTGTTGCGGTCCTATTGTTGGCACCTTGGGTTTGGTGCAATACCCTGCAATCCTCCTAGGCCCATCGAGCAACGTTGAACCCTGCTGCGTTCTGAGGTGACGGACGGCTACGCCAACTCCCTCGCTGCGCGCGTCGCGCGGACGCCTCTGCTGCTCTTCTGGGAGTTGTGCTTGAGGTTAGGCTTCAGGTTTGGGGATGTCCAGAATCTATATATTGGGGTTTCCGGGTATGTGTGGTTTTGTGGCACGCATCCCCCCATGAAGCTAGATTTTGCTGAAGAGAGAAGGTATCAGATTTCTGGGTGGAGGCCCATGCTGTGCAGCACGAGGTGGCTCGGCGGAACTTTTGGGTTCATGTTGTATGTGACGCTCTCAGACTGCTTAGAAGGCTTAACGTCCAGATTCTTGGTGTGCTGAGGGGAAGTGACGGCCTCAGCTTCTTGCGTTGCCAGGCGCTTCATCTACTCCAAGACGCGGGATGTGTGCGAAGAGTTGGATTCGTTTGGGGTTCACTACAGCGCCTGCCTGGGAGAGCATGACGAATGTGTGGACCCCAGGAAGGAGACAAACGCTTCCACACCATCGAATCTGGTGGTCATCGGAGGGTTTCGGACTTGTGGCACGAAACGGATCTACAGCCTTCTGGAATCTCATCCCAACATCGTCACCCTTTCAATTCAGGTAGGTGCGCTGCCCAATCTGCACATGGAGTTCGAGGAGTCAATCTTCGCACTGGCGAAAGCCCTCCAAGTGCCTACCGGCCGTCCCTTGATCCAGGTCTGCGACGAGTTTCAATTCAAATTGCCGACCTTCACAGAGTGCGATCGTCTCGTGAAGAAGATAAAGGGCTGGTACAACACGTCCATGCCAGCGACGCTGGTCGTCACCGACCCCTCTTTCTTTGACCAGCGAGTGGCTTGTTCTGGTTCTGGAACAGATTTACCAGAAGCTAGCAGCAGTTGCAAGCTTTTCATGATTGAGCCCGAAGCCACTCGAAACCGAAGCTCAAAACGAGATCCCTGACAGATGCTTGCATCACGCTGGCCGGGCAAAGTCAAGCTGCTCTTGATGGTGCGGGAGCCCGCAGACTTCTTATGGGCAGCTTACAACATCTGGACGCTGGCCTCTGTAGTGTTGTGCTGTTTTGCACTTTCTTTAGCGGAGTCAGGGTTTCTAGTTTCTAGTCAGGAGACAGCTGTGTGCTTTGCAACCCAGGAAGCTGCCAGGCGAGCCGAAAGGTGGAAGCCAGGATGGCAGCGCGGATGCGTGCCTTGGACGTGCCGAAGTCTTAAACTCTAAGCTTCTAAACCCGAAATCCTAAGCCCTAGACCTCAAGCCTTCAACCCTAAATTACGGAGAAGTCGCTCCACTCAGTGTCTAAAGATCGAGAACTTTAAACCTTACACCCGGAAGCCTCGTGAGAAAGGGTGGTTGAAAATGAAAAGCTCTCGCGAAGGGCAGCCTTAACTTTAAGCTCTCGTGAGAAGCGGCCTGAAACTCTTACAAACCAGGGAGAAGCGGCCTCAATCAATGAAGCGGTCTTGAACCCTCGTGATCAGTGGCGTTGAAGCCTCGCAACAATCAAGGGGGCCGAAAATGTCGCAAAATACCCAAGAGGCGGTTTTAAGCCGCTGAGCGGCGAGAAAAGCCGTCAGGTCCTTCGACCAAGGCGTCCCGCAGTGCGAAACCTAAAGGTGTTGATGCATTCGATCTTGTCCTTGAACAGAATCGGCTCTGGCTTGGTTCTGATTTAGCTGGCGGCCCTTTCGTGATGTTTGGGCTAAACCCTAAACCCTAAACCCTAAACCCTAAACCCCAAACCCTAAACCCTAAGGCCCTTTACGTGATGTTTGGGCTAAACCCTAAACCCTAAACCCTAAACCCTAAACCCTAAGGCCCTTTACTCCAAGAGGCCCTTTACTCCAAGCCTGAAGCCTCAGCCCCTCCGAACCCCTGGACCCCTGTCAGGACCTGAGGTCCCCCACCCTAAAGGGAACTCCAGAAGTTGGAATATGGATTAATGGTAGGATCCCCTATAATTTACCAAAAAAAGGGGTTACGATAATGATATGCCAACTTTCTGGCTTCTACTGTAACTCAGGATAGGATTGCACAGCGGCGGGCCCGAAGCCTTGTCCAGTATAGCGCGTTGGGAGCTTTGCGCCTAATCGGGGAGCCAAGAACTGGTTTCTCAGGGTGTTTGGGAGCCTCAGGGTGATGTGATAATCGCCAGGGGGAACACCAAGCCAGAAAATGGATGATTTTCCAACTAAACTCCGTGTGGAAAGACGTTTTGGTTTTGGCGACGCCGACCGTTCCGGGGATTTCCCCCCAAAAAGAGGCTTTTTTTCAAGACATGTCCGCGCATGTCACGTAGCATCGGTTGGGGTTCGTGGTAGACTTAACATTCCCTTTGTAATATTGGCGCAGGCCAAAAACAGGCTTGTCAAAACGGGAGCATGGTTGGGGTTTAGGGTTTACGGTTAAGGTTAAGGGTTTAGGGTTTAGAGTGTATGGCGTTCATGACGGTGACAGTGCTCCAGGAGCCGAAAAGCGCGATTGGATTTTTCCGTAAGCTGAAACTTTCAGACTCGAGGCGTCGGGTTTAAGGCCTAGGCTTTTTGGTTCTGATTTAGAGTTTAGGGTTGAGGGTTTATTTAGGGGTTTAGGGTTTAGGGGTTCAGGGAGTCTGTAGCTTCAGGAAAGCTCATGTTCGCAGCCCTGAGCTGTTCGACGAGTTGGTCTTGGCGGACGGCAAGAAAGAGGCCTGGGCACCCCGGGCCAACAAGATCACTGGCCAGTGGTTCGACCAGATCAAAACCGTCAAGGACGTTTCCGCGAACCTCCTTTTCTTGAAGTTCGAGGACGGTTCAACAGCATACTCGGTTTCGGGGTAAGCTGCGCCAAAGGCCGATCCCCATAACCATAAAAGCACCACTCAAGAATTGGGCCTTGGTTCAAGCTTTGATCGTTAAGCCAACGAATCAACGTAGATTTTGGCACCTTTGTATAAGAGCCTTCAGGAGGTGCAAATGTAGGAAGGGTTCCCCAAACTAATGCCATAAGCATCTGGGTTTGCAGGAGGTTTAGTAAAGACCCTGACCCCCACAGGACCTTGCGGACACTTTGACCGCAACCTTGGCGAGAATGGGCTCGTTCCTGGGGGTGAACGCATCGCTGTTTGCTTACGAGGCGGCAGATTTTACCTGGGTTTGAGGGCTAGGCTCTTCAGTTGGGAGTTTCCGAAAATAGGAGACCCTAATACAGTACCCTAAACTAGTAGTAGGATCCCTAATATAAGGACCCCAACAGAAGGTACCCCTATTTTCGGAAACTCCCAGTTGGTTGCGGCTTTCTTTTTTGCGGTTTGTGTGGAAGGGGGGCCTTGGGGGTTGTGGCCGAGGCTTTGGTGGCGCTTGGGTTTTACTCGCTTTTGCTTTGCGGAGAGCTGAGGCCTTGGGTTTAGATCAGAGCTGCTACATGAAGCTCTCAGTGTTGCGGGTTCCCAGAGACTCCAATATCCCATAAATATCTTAGATCACATTAGGGATCCTACTATAATTGAAGGTATACTCCTTGATTCGGGGACTATGGAGTCTTTGGGTTTGAGAAGCTTGAAGGGTGCAGGCTTCCTTCTTTAGGGGTTTAGGCTTTAGCGTTCCTTTCAATTTGCGAGCTTTCGAGCCTGTACTACTGTGGGGGTTCCTTATGACAAATTATAGTATCATGGGCACCAAAACCGTATCCTACTTATTAAGGCGTGTGCAGTAGAAGACAGACCCTCCCCGTGCGATGTTGGTCATCACACCCTTCAGGAAACTGATCTGAAGAACATGGCAACCACATCATGTGATAGAGATTCAGACTGTGAAGCCCTGCTATAGGGACTTTAAACATTACCTACACTGTTTTGGGGGTTCCTTATTATAAATATAGCACCCAGAACCTAATTCTACTTATTAGGGCCGCTACATTGTGTAGCTGTTGAAGCCTCAAGCCTTGAGGTGACGGACGTCACCAATTCCCTGGCCTCGCGTGCCGTCGCACAGATGCCTCTGCTGCTCTACAAGAAGTTTAGTCAACATATCCTGTCGCAGAGCGCGTCTATCTATCGCTTACCAAAGTTAGCGAGACCAGTGCAGTGCGGTAGCACTTTGCCACCTATGGCAGAGGAGACTGGATGCAGGATTCCCTTTCTGGGCTTAGGGTTTTTTGCTAAACCTCCCATCCGTATCCCAAGCAGCACCTAACATTGGAAGTCAACGGATTTTCTGCCGCCGCGAGGGTGTCCTGCCGGATGTGCGCCTGCTTTGGGACTTGCCTCCCGCTCTGGGGCGGTGCATGATTGACAAGGCTTAAGGTTTACACAGTCCTGCTCGGTCCATTGTAAGATTGTAAGTCCAATCCTTGGCCGCATTTGTGGCTTCGAGATGCATGACTCCTGCATGAGGGGAAGCATGCCTGGTCATTGTCGCTAGATCCCGCGGTGCGCACGGGGTTCTCGTGGCGCTTTAGTTGTACGATTCTTCACTGTTTAGGGATCGCATAATTCCTTGACAAAGAGAGACGAAGAGAGTCGAATAGAGAAGGTATCAGATTTCCGGGTGGAGGCCTATGCTATGCAGCACGAGGCGGCTCGCTGGAATTGGGGTTCCAAACATACTTGCTGCAGGGTCATGGAAGCAAGGTGTATCAGGCACCTCAGCAGGTGAAACAAACATCTGTAGCATTCAGGATCGGCCCTTGTTTGCTCTTTTTCACGTGGATTCATCCCACCTTTGGAGCCCTTTGAATTTCAGCATTCAACAAGCGTGGTGGGTAAGCCCATGCCACTTTACGCAGCCAGGCGCTTCATCTACTCCAAGACGCGTGATGTTTGCGAAGAGTTGGATTCCTTTGGGGTTCACTACAGCTCCTGCCTGGGAGAGCATGACGACTGCGTGGACCCTGCGCCTGGATCATCTAGGATGTCTATGCCGAACAGCATTCCGTACTTGCCATCCTTGCCGTTGAAGGCCGGTGATTTCAACTAAACTGGAGCCCCGTAAATGCTATGCAACCTGAACGCCCCAAACCCTCATCTCCCGACAAAAGTCCCAGGAATCTGCACCATCGAACTTGGTTGTTGTCGGCGGATTTCGGACATGTGGCACAAAGCGCATCTACGACATGCTGGAAGCTCATCCGAACATCCTCACCCTTTCAATTCAAGTTGGTGCGCTGCTCAATCTGCAGCTGGAGTTTGAGGAGTCAGTCTTCGCTCTGGCAAAAGCGCTGCAAGTCCCCACTGGTCGTCCCCTGATACAGACTTGTGACCAGTATAAGCCACATCAGCCGCAGACCTTCAAAGAATGTGACCGTCTCGTGAACAAGATCAGGGGCTCGTACAACACGTCCATGCCAGCGACACTGGTCGTCACAGACCCCTCCTTCTTTGACAAGGGAGTGGCTTGTTCTCAAACAGAAACTATCCAGTAGTTGCATGCTTTTCATGACTGAACCCGAAAGCATTCGAACTTCAACACGACGTCCCTGACAGATGCTTGCATCGCGCTGGCCTGGTAAAGTCAAGTTGGTCTTCGTGGTGCGCGAGCCAGCAGACTTCTTATGGGCAGCTTACAACATTTGGACGCTGGCCTCTGGAGTAATGTATTGTTTGGTCCTTTCTTGTCCCAGTCCGGGTTTCTAACAGTAACTTTTAGCTTAAACCGAAACGTTCCCCTCGAAACCTACGCCCTGCAGTTCACTTTGCAAATCAGGGTGTTGCCAGGGGAGCCGAAAGGACAAGATGGCCAGACTGGGACGAACCTTGGCCACACAACGTAGGGGCCTTAATAACCAGAATAGGGTTTTGGGGGTTTCCTTATTTCACTTGTCGTATAATGTACCCTCAAACCCTTTTCTAATGACTGCGGCCCCTGTATCACGCGCAAAGCACCTACCCCACAGAGGGTTCCAGAAATGCTTGTGTTGCACTTCTGGAACTCGGTCCCACAATCTCCTAGCCATCTCACGTGGAGCGCGTTTCTGCGGGCTCAAACCCTTGTATGACAAGTTGTATGTATACATACACATATTAAATACTTAGAACATAATATATATATATATATATATATGCTCACCCCCCCCCCGTTGACAGACCGCGGGTCTAAAAAACACCGTGCACGACGATATTCTATGAAGCAAAACCTTTACATGAGGTACATAGTATAGCACCAGACGTGCGGCACATGAGTTACGTAACAGTCTTGTGGTAGTATCGGTATTAGGGTGAGTATTATTATTAATATTAGTACTATTGTTTGCTGTAAGTATACGTATCAATATTGCCAACTATAAATTAGTGTTAGTGCTCATGTTCGTGTTAGAGTTAGCGCTAGTGCCAGTGTCAATGTCAGTAATACAGCACCACTGCTACGAGTAGTATCAGTATCAGTCTTAATGCTGGGTTTAACAGCAGCTTATATTCGCAGAAGTGCTAGTATTAGTATCAATATTAGAACTAGTTAGTTTGGATATGTTAGTATATTGATAGTCTCGTATATTAGCAGATGAGTATATCAGTACATCAATGTATTCGAACAGTAAAATATTTGCATACTTGTATACTAGTATATTTCACATGTTAGTACAACTGGTGCATGAATACACTACTATACTGCTGTACTAGCTTACTAGTATATTGACATACCAGTATATTCGAACGTTAGCATATTAGTGTACGAGTATGTGTACTATATGACTGTTTTATCTAATCATTTCTAAGTATATCAGTATGTTGGCATATTGGTATACGAACTTGTCATGTCGGTATTCTTGCATAGTGCAGTAGCCGTATATGAGTACAGTCACATATTCGTGTAGTATACTCATACAACAACGAGAGGTATATTGATACATTGGTATATGGGCATATGCCTATGCCAAAGCATTAATACATGAATGCACTGACGTATATATCTGTATCTTAAGATAGTGGTATGTATTTTATGTACATTAGTATATGCAGGTGTCTATTAGTAATGATATTAGTCATCATATCAATATGAATATACTATTGGTGTTCGTAGCAGTATTAATGTCAATATTATTAGAAATAGGACTATTTATACTCGTAATAGCCATAATATGAGTGTTCATGCTGGTAATACTAGTGGCATTCTTGAATATTCAGCAGATTATCAAAGTCCGTACTAGTGTTGGTGATAGCATCACTGTTAACGCACAAGAGTTTACGTACTCGTATTCGTAGGAGTATCAATAGCTATGTAAATATTGATGTTAGTATAAATTTTGTGTGAAGTATTAGCAGTAGTGTTAGCTGTATTTTATGTACATTAGTATAAGCAGGTGTCCATTAGTAATGATATTAGTTTTCATATCAATATGAATATACTATTGGTATTCGTAGCAGTATTAATGTCAATATTATTAGAAATAGGACTATTTATACTCGTAATAGCCATAATATGGGTGTTCATGCTGGTAATACTAGTGGCATTCTTGAATATTCAGCAGATTATCAAAGTCCGTATTAGTGTTGGTGATAGCACTACTGTTAACGCACAAGAGTTTACGTATTCGTATTCGTAGGAGTATCAATAGCTATGTAAATATTGATGTTAGTATAAATTTTGTGTTAAGTATTAGCAGTAGTGTTAGCGTTAGTACTATAATATTATTGATGATATACATTCGAAAGAATGTTTGTAGTATTATTACTCTTGATCACGTGAAATTCTAACAGTTGAATACATGAGTGAGTTAAAGGATTTGTATTTTAATATGGTGGTATGCATGTTTATGTACATTAGTACATACAGGTGTGTGTTAGTATTGGTATTAATATACATTATTATCAATATGAATATGGTTATTGATATGCGTAGGAGTAATAAGAGCAATACTAATCAATCTTAGTATTTGTGTTATGCATATTCGTACTAAGCTTTATAGAAGTGTAATATTAGTAGTAATGCTGGTATTAGCTTGAGCATTCAACAAATGATCACTGTCAGTATTTCCAATGGCAATACTATATGTAGGAGTATCAATACATATATGTATATACAGATAGACAGGTAGATTGAGAGATATTCGTTTAAATATGGGCATGAGTATTGACAGCCCTTGCCTTTGCAAGTAAGTCGTGCATGGTCTGTCATCGGATGGGTCACAATCAGCCCTCCTGAGAATCAATTCCAAGGTCCAGAGATTCCAAAATTTCCAAAAGTTCCAAAACTTCCAAAATTTCCGAAATTTCCAAAATTTCCAAAATTTCCAAAATTTCCAAAATTTCCAAAATTTCCAAAATTTCCAAAATTTCCGAAATTTCCAAAATTTCCAAAATTTCCAAAAAGTCCGCCCTTATGTTTTGGAAAAATCCTGTCCACTAGGTCGGGCCGAAATTTTGGAAATTTTGGAAATTTTGGAAATTTTGGAAATTTTGGAAATTTTGGAAATTTCGGAAATTTTGGAAATTTTGGAAATTTTGGAAATTTTGGAAATTTTGGAAATCCGGAAAGTTAAGGGAGAGAATTTTGGAAATTTTGGAAATTTTGGAATTGAGTTTTTGAAAGCTGAGTACCCCCTCCCCCGATCACAGACCATGCACTACGACTGAGTTGAAAGGGCATGGTCTGTCAACGAGTCTTTTGGTGGTTCCACAGATACGTTCGGAGGGCTCAAACTCGATACCCCGGAAAAAGCACGAACACACCGGTGGGAGCGATGTTTTGAAGGGGATGGTCTGTCAACGGGGGGGGGGGGTGACCATATATATATATGTAAATGAATAAATCGATAATTAAACATATATATATATACACATAATACTAGCACACTATAATGCATAGTATATACAACTTTGTATGGCTGTATGTTTGTACGTCGTACGTACGCACGTATGACTTTGTGGCTTCCGGATTCTGCGCCTTCAGGAAGACTCACGTCCGAAGCCCTGAGCTTTTCGACGAGTTGGTACTGGCGGATGGCAAGAAGGAGGCCTGGGCGCCCAGGGCCAACAAGATCACCGGTCAGTGGTTCGACCAGATCAAGAATCTGAAGGATGTCTCCGCGAAGCTCCTGTTCTTGAAGTCAGAGGACGGCCCAAGAGTTCGGTGTGGTCGAATGCCACGCCCTTTAAAGCCGAGTTGGTGTCCCAACATTCAAACCCAAGAACCAGACCTGAACCCCACCCTTGCATACCAGCACCCAAAAACAAAGATAGGATTTTTCGGTATGGTCTCCATGGGAACCTTGTAATGCTGGGAAGTTGACGGAGGTACAGGCGAAACCTGCAGACAACGACCCTGAGTGCCCTCGAAGGATCTTGCGAAGACTTTGAGTGCAACCTTGGCGAAGATGGGCTCTTTCTTCGGAGTGGATGCCGCGCTATTTCCCTACGAGGCCGTTGGGAGTGCATGCACTTGGACCTATGGTTTTCTATTTCTGGTTTTGAGTTTGCCTGGTTTGGGCTTGGGTCTACGAGTGTTAGTTGAGGCCGAGGCCCGTGGATTTGTGTTCGGGGTTCTTTTTCATCCCGGATGCTGGAGGTTTAGGGATGTCGGTTCATGGGTTGGGGTTGTTTGGGTTCGGGTGCTCCATGAAGAGCTTTATGTGAAGGCCCGCTAGAGCTATAACTTTCGGGTTGCAGGTTTGGTACTGTTCGCCTCGTGTGTTCGACAGCTTCTTCTCGCCTTTTCGCCACTTTTGCCAGTTCTTCGGTATATTACGGGGCGGTCCTTACAATTTACAAGGCGCGGAGGAGTTCACAAGGAGGCATAGACATGGGAATTTCCTTGAACTAGGCAGAGCTTGAGCCGCGAGACCCTAACCCTGCAAAAGTCCTGCTTGAAAGCACCCTAAACCTTAAACCCTAGTAAGCCCTAAACCCTACTAAACCCTAAGCCCTACTAAACCCTACGCCCTACTAAACCCTAAGCCCTACTAAACCCTAAACACAGCCCTGAACGCGGCTGTTTCTCTTCTCGAGGTGACGGACGGCTACATCAACTCTGTCGCTGCGCGCGTCGCACGGACGCCCCTGCTGCTCTTCGGGAAGTCTTGCGCGATGGTTAAGGCTTAGGTTGGGTTTTGGATTTAGGGTTTTGGGTTTAGGGTTTAGGGTTTAGGATTTAGTAAGGTTTAGGGTTTAGGGTTTTGGGTTTAGGGTTTAGTAGGGTTTTGGGTTTAGGGTTTAGTAGGGTTTAGGGTTTAGGATTTGGTAGTGCAGAATCCAGGCGCTCAGGGTGTTTTTTGGGGTTTCTCGATGGTCTGCATCTTTGCTCCTCTGCTCTGACGTAAGTTCGTATAATAACTTAGAAGGGGCCCCCACCCTGTAAGAGTGGTATAATAGGAATGTAGTTGGGGCCGTAACATAATCCTTATAGTCACTATGACAGGGTGGGGGCAGCTTCTAAATGATAACTTTGGATGTCATGGGTGCCGCTTGTTGGTATTCTTCCTGTTCGGGGCTCCCGGGTCTATGTAGCCCCTCGCCGGCTCCCATGTCCTGCTCTGACCAGCGCAGTACTACTTGGACCTTCATGGGTAGTTATAAATGGAGTTATAAGTCCCCTAATAGGGGTTATAACCATAGCTACCCTAATTATAACCCCACATATAACTATCCATGAACCTCGAAGTAGCCCCTAAACCCTATACCCTTTTAGAATCCCTATAGATCCCTTTAAAGGGACCCTTATAACTACCCATGAACCTCCAAGTAGGGGCGCTGCAGCCACTGACTCAGGAGACCCGAGGTTTCGGCTAGGCTTTCTCGGTTCTTTTTTCGAAGCATCCCCCGAGAAGCTGTAGGAGTCGAAAAGACAAGGTATCAGATTTCCGGGTACAGGCCCATGCTGTGCAGGACGAGGCTGGGGGAGCAGGGTTGTTGTAGTATTTGCAGGGTGATGGTAGGGAGCTTGATTCGGGATGTGCAGACCGGAGTCATTCATTGCCAGGCGCTTCATCTACTCCAAGACGCGTGATGTCTGCGAAGAGTTGGATTCGTTTGGGGTTCACTACAGTGCCTGCCTGGGAGAGATTGACGAATGCGTGGACCCCGCAAAGAAGGCAAACTATTCCGCACCAGCGAATCTGGTTTTGATCGGAGGATTTCGGACTTGTGGCACGCAACGAATCTACGACATGCTGAATTCTCATCCGAACATTGTCACCATTTCAATTCAAGTTGGTGCGCTGCCAAATCTGCAACTGGAGTTTGAGGAGTCAGTTTTCGCTCTGGCAAAAGCGCTGCAAGTGCCTACTGGCCGTCCGTTGATACAGGTTTGTGACGAGTTTCAATTCAAAGTGCCGACTTTCATAGAATGTGATCGTCTCGTGAACAAGATCAGGGGCTCGTACGACACGTCCATGCCAGCGACACTGGTCGTCACAGACCCCTCCTTCTTTGACAAGGGAGTGGCTTGTTCTCAAACAGAAACTATCCAGTAGTTGCATGCTTTTCATGACTGAACCCCGAAAGCATTCGAACCTCAACACGGCGTCCCTAACAGATGCTCGTCTCTCGTTGGCGGGGCAAAGTGAAGTTGCTTCTCGTGGTGCGCGAGCCAGCAGACTTCCTATGGGCAGCTTACAACACTTGGATGCTGGCCTCTGCAGTACTGTGTTGTTTGGTCCTTTCTTGTCCCAGTCCGGGTTTCTAACAGTAACTTTTAGCTTAAACCGAAACGTTAGAGCATTGGGTTTTGGTCCTTTCTTTTTCGAGCTGAGTTTGCAAGGAGAGCTAGAGAAAAGCCCGTATAGAACCCTTATAGAACTCTATAGCATTACCCTTGAAGGAGCCCCCTGTCGGGATTAGCGTTCGGGTCTCGGAGAGTTCCTGACGCAACCAAGGGTGCTTCCCGGAGAGCCGAAAGGCGGAGGTCAGGATGGCAAGACGGTCGTGAACCTTGGACGTCACGCTACGGTTGATGATATAAATCCTGCATTACCTTAAGGACCTTAAACTATGGGAATTATGGTATATTCCTTATTATGGGTCATGCAGGATTTGTATCATCACCGTAGGAGCCCAAATTGCCCCTCTGCATACCCCAAACCGTGCTGTACACCGCCGCGGTTTCGATGGGTTCGGGGCTCGAGGGGTGCGGAACTCATGGGCATCATTGGTTCAAAAGTTGCTTGGAGGCCTTCGCAGGTTTTTGGGGTTCGAGGCGCCGGGTTGAAGACTCTTTAGGATTTGAGGTTTAAGGCTTTTTGCTTCTCGTTCCGACACTCCAGGAAAACTCATGTCCGCAGCCCTGAGCTGTTCGACGAGTTGGTATTTGCGGACGGCAAGAAAGATGCCTGGGCGCCCAGGGCCAACAAGATCACTGGCCAATGGTTCGACCAGATCAAAACTGTGAAGGATGTCTCCGCGAACCTCCTGTTCTTGAAGTTCGAGGACCCCAACCCTAAACCCGAAACCATAAACCCTAAACCCTAAAGCAAAAACCCGAAACCCTAAGCCCAAGACTTCGGCCATCCTGTGCCCTATGAAGCCAAGCCCTCGAAACGTTAGCTGTCCCAAAAACAGCTCAAGCCCTAGTTGCAGCCCCAACTCTTAAAACAGGGAGTCAGACGACCCTTAAGATGAGTGATCTTTACAGTCTTAGACTATTGACGTTGTGACGGTTCGGAGTTTAGACAACAACCTTGCCTCGAAGGATCTTGTGGGCAATTTGGCCGGAACCTTCTTGCCAAAGCTGGGCTCTTTCTTGGGAGTGAGTGCATCGCTCTTTCCCTACGAGGCGGGAGAGTTGCCATGGCATATTGTACTACGCAAGTTTGTAATGGATTGTCTTGTATTGGCTGGTTACATCTTGTGTGATCCTGTTCCATCTTATCATCTTCTTTTCCTGGTCTGTTTCAGCTTGTAATCTATTCTATTCTTGTTCCGCTATATCCTCTTCTGATCCTATTCTGTTCTGACCTATGATACGATACGGCATGGCCTGATATGATATGATATGATGTAGCGTGACATGCTATGATAGCAAGTATGTTATAGTGAACTTTCGCGTGCATTAGTATATCAGTAAATACAGTATGCTATGTCATCTTATAGCATACTGTAGTATTTCAAGGTCGTCTTATAGTACTTTATATTTTCTTTAAGATAGTAGCTTATTGCATAGTACAGTACATGATCGCATTTGATAGCATATCCTCTCATGCTATAGTTTACTGTGGTTTGTTCTAGACTACTAGAGTATATCATAGAACGCCACCATATTATAGTCGAGGACAGTATATTTTAGTACACGAAAGTATCAGGAGGTCTTTTACAGCATACCACAGTTTACTATTGTCTTGTAGTGTATTGTAGCCCAATGTCGTAGATTATAGCGTGTCATAGTGTAACATGGTATGTTATCTTAGGTTACCGCACACTATAGTATGCTCTGGTATATTGTCGTATATTAAAGGGCATCATGGAGAGGACATCATGGCATACCGAGTATGGAGTAGCAGTTTTTCGTAGATTACATGATGCCATAGCGTATTCTAGTATGTTGCAATTTTTTGAGAGTGTATTATAGTATCATTTTATCTTATCCGATCTTTCCCTATCCTGTAGGATATTTCGTTTAACGTACTACATCATCGATAGTGTAATATTAGGCTGTATTACTGTATTATGCCATAGTCTACTATGTTGTATTGCTTGTGAAGATTTTATACTGTATTGTGTTTCAGTTTGTTATAGCATAGCTTATTCTTATATGTTATATTACATTACACGTGATATTATATGACATGATATAGTACTATCTTGTATATGTTGCTGCATCATACGACGTCCCGCTAGGGGATTCTACAACCGAAGATTTTGGGTGATGTTCTATTACTCTTTGAACCCTCTATCATTATGTTATGTAAGTTGTGCTATATGATCTCATGCCATGTCCTATTCTTTTTTCTTGCCTCTTACGGTATTCTGTTATGTTCCACGTGAACATACTGTATTCGGTTCTATCCTCTTTGTTTTTACTGTATATTAGATTAGATCAGGTTTGACGATGTGGCTTACACTGCATTCGGCTTTTTGTCATATTGTTTCAATCTATATTGTACTGTAGTATGCTCTTTCTACTTTGCTACAAGGTAGTATGGTTTGAAGCTTTTTTTTGTGGCTCGTTTCACTCTACGAAGAGCTTTATGTGAAACCCTCAGTTGGCAGGTTTCATGCTCAGGGTTGCGCACTTCCTTCGGTGTGGGCATCGCTCATCGAAATCGCGTAGAGCATAGGCATAGGCCCCCTCGCTTGAGAATGTTGGTCCGAGCGGCAACACGGACATACACAGAGAACCTACTGTTACAGCCGGCAGACCCTACAGTCACGCAGCCGCTTAATGTGACAAACCTTGCCTTTGGTTAGTAGGGAATGGAGGAATGGGGCACAATTATAACTACTATTACTACCATTCTTCCATTCCCTACTAACCAAAGGTAAGAAACTGATTGGTGAAGATTATGTCCTCCGTGTCAGAGGCTTCAATGCCCCGTAGGAGTTCTGTTCCACCGAGGTGACGGTCGGCTACATCAACTCGCTCGCTTCGCGCGTCGCGCGGACGCCTCTGCTGCTCTTCGTGAAGTTCTGCGGGAGGGTTAAGATCTTGACCTTGGGCTTCAAGGTAAAAGCAATCTCAGGCGTATTTTTTTAAAAAGGGGTTTGTGTTTTCAAACAAAAGAGCAACTTCAGGCGTTTTGTTTTTAAGAAGGGGGTTTGTGTCGTTTCGGGTGTATGCGGGAGGTGGTGCGTTTCCCTGTAGCGTCCGTTTTTTTGTGTTAGTTAGATGTTATAAGAGCCGAAGTACTGGAATAAGAAACTGGTGGTCAAGCAAAGGGGGTGTTTGTTTTCATGCTCCCTCATGTGATCTTGTATTTGGACGGGTGTGGACTAAACCCTAAACCCTAAACCAGACGTTCGGGCTTTGCTTGTTGCAGCGTGTTTTCCGACATGCATCCCCTAAGAAGCCAGATCTTGTCGACAGAGAGGTCCCAGATCTCCGGGTACAGGCCCATGCTGTGCAGGACGAGGCTGGGGGAACAGGGTTCATGTGGGTGGCGGTTTAGGGTTTAGGGTTCATATTAAGGAATCCCTGCTCCAAGGATCTCAAGCCCCCCTTTCGGCCTCCCATCATTAACCAGCCCTCCCCCTCCATTCGGGTGGTTCTCAAAACTATCGTCCCTTTTTGGGAACCCTAAATATTAGGTGCCGTACTATAATAGGGACCCCAAAAGGGGACCCTAATTCTGACAACTACCCATGTAGTATTGGCGGGCGATGGGAGGGAGCTTGATTCGGGATTTGCAGACCGGAGTCAGTCATTGCCAGGCGCTTCATCTACTCCAAGACGCGGGATGTCTGCGAAGAGTTGGACTCCTTTGGGGTTCACTACAGTGCCTGCCTGGGCGAGCATGACGACTGCGTGGACCCCAGAAAGGAGACAAACTTCTCCGCACCATCGAATCTGGTGGTGATCGGAGGATTTCGGACTTGTGGCACGCAGCGAATCTACAACATTCTGAGAACTCATCCGAACATTGTCACATTTTCAATTCAAGTTGGTGCGCTGCCCAAGCAACAATTGGAGTTTGAGGAGGCAGTCTTTGCCCTGGCAAAAGCGCTGCAAGTGCCTAGTGACCGTCCTTTGATGCAGGTTTGTGACGAGCTTCAGTTCAAAATCCCGACTTTCATAGAATGTGATCGTCTCGTGAACAAGATCAGGGGCTCGTACGACACGTACATGCCAGCGACACTGGTCGTCACAGACCCCTCCTTCTTTGACAAGGGAGTGGCTTGTTCTCAAACAGAAACTTTCATGTAGTTGCATGTTTGTCATGACTGAACCCGAAAGCATTCGAAGTTCAGCACGACGTCCCTGACAGATGCTTGCATCGCGCTGGGCGGGCAAAGTCAAGCTGCTCTTCGTGGTGCGCGAGCCCGCCAACTTCTTATGGGCAGCGTACAACACTTGGACGCCACGAGTGGCAGACGATAACGGTTTGCAAGGGCTCGGGCGTCTTGGACTTGAGAGGTTGCTTTGGGGCTTTGGGGCTAGGATTCACCTTCAGGTCAGAGCCATAAATGGTAGTTTCCGAAAATTAGGGTACCTTGCCCTGGGTCCTCATATCAAATACCCTACTATTTAAGGAACCCTATTAGGGTCCCTTCTTTTCGGAAATCCTAAACCCCTATAGAGCCCTTTAAAGGAACCCGTATAGTACCCTTAAAGTAACCCTTTAAAAGGAACAATAAAGGGTCCCCTAGGGCTCGGGCTCCGGGGGCCTTTGGCCTTAAGACCAGGAAGACTGTCCGCAGCCCTGAGCGTTTCAACACGTTGGTCTTGGACGGCAAGAAAGATCCCACCAAGATCATCGGGAAGTGGTTCGACCCGATCAAGAATCTGAAGGATGTCTCCGCGAACCTCATGGTATTGAAGTTCGAGGACGGCTCGTGGTTGGGTGGGGAATCTTGGTGCATAGGAGACATAGTACCCATGGAGCATCGATGGGGCGCAAGGCTTGTCACACAGAAACTCCTACTTCTGCAAGCCCTAAAACTGAAATCCTAGACCCTAAGCTCCAAATCCTAAACCCCGGGTTTAATCCTTTATGGGGAACTTAAACCCTGAAAGAACCTGTGCCAAACTGTTGTTGTAATGCGGCAGACTTTGTGGATTCGATTCTGGAGGTCCGATCTTGTCACTGTCCTAGACCCGGGGCAGTAGGGTGCAGCCTTGTCCTTTTTCATGGTTCCCCCAAAAGAATAAACAGACCGGCTAGTAGACCTTCTTAAATAATTCCTACTAAGGGATATAGGTATAGGGCTCTGTCTACTTACTTAAAAAAGGACCCGGGGCAGTAGGGTGGATGGTAGGGTTCGGGGCCTTTAGGGTTTAGGATCTAGGCATCAGGGAGGGTTGTAGGGTAAAGGGATCCTGTCTCGTGTTTTGAATTCATCAAAAAACGGCGCAACCAAGGTTGCACAGCCAAAAGGCTCAATCTGATCCCTAAGATGGTGTTGCTGTTGCGGGCCATAATGCAAGTTTCGGTTGTACATATATATATATATACACATTATGTACATGTAAACACAATGCATATGTATATGTACATGTTTATGTATATGTGCATGCGTATAGAATACACTGAAGGCTGTGTGCTCATCCGTGTAAGTTCAGCATGACTACCATATGTATAGGTATAGGTACAGGTACAGGTATAGGTGCAGGTGTAAGTATATGTATATGTATATGTATATGTATATGTATATGTATATGTATATGTACGTGTATATGCAGCTGCATACGCATGTGTATATATGTATATGCGTAAATAATACACTGGTAAGTAACATTGTGTCCCCATCCGGGTATGTTCAGCGTGACTAGCTTCAGCACCTCATTCCATAGAAGGGCCTTGACGAACCCCTTCAAAATCTTTCTAAAAGAAGTTCCTTGCTTAACGCCCGTATGACGCCCTCATAGAACCCCTGCGTCAGGTGGTAACTTCCGTTCGTCCTCAGCCCGAAGCTCTAAACCGTTAAGTTCCTTCCGAAGAAACCCAGAAGCCAACACTCTCTTGCAGGGCTTCTCAGACAACTTGACCACGAACTTGGCGAAGATGGGCTCGTTCTTCGGAGTAAACCCGTTGCTGTTTCATGACGAGGCGGTAGTGTTTTCCTGGGCGTGATCAGGGTTTGAAATTTTACGGTTCAGGCCTGGGGTTTCCCGCGGGTACAGGGATGAGGACCTTGGAACTTAGCATCCTTCCGGGGCGTAGGATTTTCAAACTGTTTCTTTGCGTAAGAGCTTTACATGAACGTCTCTCGCAAGGACGTCCCCGGAGAGCCCAATACCCCTTAATTAAGGAATAGACCTAAAACCATAATATTAAGGCCCCTATAATTCAAGGTATATTCCTTAATTAAGGGTATTGGGTTCTCTGAGTCGTAACAACCCGGGCATGAAGCCCGGAGCGGGGGGATCCACGTGTGCTATTCTACCGACAGAACCGACAACCATCGATTGGGTGGTGCTCGTGAAACTCATAGCTGAATGGCATATCAAAAAGGCCTTCCGTGTCATGGGATCCTATCGCGTTGTATAGCCTCCCTATCCCGAAACTCTACTTGGAGGTTCATGGGTGGTTATAAATGGGGTTCTAAGTCCCCTAATAGGGGTTATATCCATAGTTACCGTAATTATAACCCGACTTATAACTATCCATGAACCTCCAAGTATCCCGAAACTCTGCCCTGCACGAGGTGGCGGATAGCTACACCAGCTCGCTCGCTGTGGGAGTTCCGCGGACACCTATGCTGCTCTTCCAACTTCTGCGGGAGGGTTAGGGCTTCACTGTTATCAGGTTTCAGAGTTTAGGGTTTAGGTTTCCGGGCTACGCGTTTAGTGGGTTGAGGGTTAAGTCGTGGCTTTGGTGAGCGGTTTTGGGTTGCGAGTTTTCCCAGTTTCCTGTCGTAGTTGATTTGATAGGTCTGTGAATCATGGGTTCTTGATTTTACTGGGGTCGTTGCGGCTTGAGCGCTGCGCAGCATGACCTTCTTGCGTCCCCTAGACCAACGAAGTAACGCAGCGCATGTTTGCCGGTTCCTGGTTTTTGGTCAGCATCTCAAGAGAGCCGAAGAGAGAAGGTATCAAATTTCCGGGTGGAGGCCTATGCTGTGCAGCACGAGGCCGCTTGCAGGGTGATTCGACACTGCGTCGGGGGGAAGGAGGGACAGGGGCAGCGCCCCAGGGCCCATGTTGTTCGCGCTGCCAGGCGCTTCATTTACTCCAAGACGCGAGATGTTTGCGAAGAGTTGGATTCCATCGGGGTTCACTACAGCGCCTGCCTGGGAGAGCAGGACGACTGCGTGGACCCCCCGCGTAATTCCTCTTTTCCGCCGAGGCCGCCGCCCAAGCCTCGGCCTTTAACGCCGAGCCAGAAAGGAAGCTTGGGAGTCCAATACCAGGCGTTTGCTAGCGGCTTGCCAACCATGATGTGGAACGGCACAGTAGTCGCTGGGCACGAAGCATGTGCTTAAGGCCAAGGTTTTCCCCATTCAGGGATCCCTCGCGTGCAATTTTTGTGTTTGTATTTTTGAGCTTCTGGATGTTCTAACCCTAAACCCTAAACCCTCGTTGAAGCCCCGGAGCCATGTGGCCCAGGCGCCTGGTGTCAAACAGAGTGTGGCTTCGATGGTCGAGAGCTCTCCGAGAGCTCCTTGGTGCCGGAACACCCCAAACCCGAAACCCCCTAAACCCTAAACCCTAAACCGCAATGTGCTTAAGTTAATGGACGAAGCAAGGCTGATTGCAACAAAACGATGTGGCGAACGCAGCTAAAGCACCGTTTTTCATCTCCACTCTTGTCACATCGCAGAGTCCCATCTGCGACTAGTTTCCGGGTTTCCGGTTTCGAGTCCGAGTTGCTCCCTTTACCTTGAATAACCTACCTGCTCAGGGTTCCTTATTATTAATTATGATTTCCTAATATATATATATATATATATATATATATATATCCTTAAAAAGGTAGGTTATTCCGGTTTAAGGTCCATCCACGCAAGCATCGAAACTAGTAACTAGTTTCAACTACAGCGCCACTCTCATCAGAGCATTGTTGTTTCGGACCAAGTTTGGAACCAGTATGACTGTGTGTAAGCACAGAAAGACAATCCGCCAAACCCCAAAACCGTAAATCTTAGACCTTAACCCCTTAACTGTATCATCCCATAGAGGAGCCGTGAATCGTAGGAACCCTAGAAGAGGCTGCGGAAATACCAATTTTCGTGGTGGGCCTGACGTTTGGTGGGATCATCGCCCGCTTGATGAAGAGCCGTTGAGGCCCGTGAGCTTGTAGGGTCTACAGTAGAATCCTTAAGAGTAGTGTATAGGGAATCCCAGCACTATCTGTCCCTTTATCAGGTTTCCAACTTTTTGGGGTTTACTATAGGGTTTAAGGCTTCAGCTTCAGGATTCTGGGTTTATGGTTCAGTGTTCAAGCTTTTCGGAATGTGTTCAGAGACCTCTATACGACATACACGTCCGAATCATTGAACGGCTGGCGCTAAACCCTAAACCCTAAACCCTAGAGGCCTGTGGCTCCAAGCCCAAACTCCTGGTCCCACCCTACGGTTTAGAGTTTAGGGTTTAGGGTTTAGGGTTTAGGGACTCATCAAACTGGACCAGGAAGTCGCAAGACAGTCTCGATTGTTGTAGCATTATTCGGTGGACTGACAATATGGGAGTTTCGGAAAATGGGGGACCCTAGTACCCTGTCAAGTTAAGGCTGAACTTGTGATCGGGCTGCTGGGCTCAAAGATGAATGTTGCTCAGGTGCTTGGGTCCTTTTCTCAGGGCTTGAGCTTTGTGCTTCAGGGTTCTTCGACCAATTGGTGGGGTCTTGCGTGCCCTGCACATTGTGCGGGTTCGGTCACCTTGCTGATTCTGGCCCTGATCACAGGAACCTGCACTGGATTTGTCCTGGCCCTTTGGATTTTCCGATCCGCCCTCTTTGCTCCCTCGATTCATCCTCTCTTTGACTTGCCTGGAACTTCTGATCCGGCCTCTGTGCCCCGGCCAAGGTCTCTCAGGTTGCGCAGGTACGTTGATGAGTAGAGGTGGCCTCCTGAAAACTATCAAGGACGCCGTTGATAGCCTCCGTCTGGCTATCGAGGAGCTCGAGGAGGGCTCTGACAATTGGGAGGTCGTGGACGACGGCCCTGCTTCTTCTTCTGCTGCCTGTGTGCCTGCTGTGCCAAAGGCTCCTTCGGTTTCTTGTCGGCCCTCTCGCGAGGCCTCTTCATCTTCTTTTCCGGGCCCTCGGGTCGGGGATCCCTTGCCTGGGGACGCTCTTTTCCTGGTGTCTTCCTTGCACATCTGTGACAGACGGCCCAGAGCCGAGCGCGCGTGGGAGGCTGGACTTCAGGCCGGTGCGGTGCTCCGCGGAGACCAGAGGGTCCCGAACGCTACGCCCTCTCTCTCTGTTCGCAGCCGCTTTTACGTGGTGTTGCATTGTCGGGGCAGCGATCAGGTTCGAGTCTTCACAACCTTTGGCAAGTTCAAGCATTTCACAGGGCCTTTGGAAGGCAGCGGAACCGTGTGCCACGGGTTTCCCACTGAGGGGGAGTGTCGTGTTTTTGCCAGGGCGGCTCATCGCCCTTTCCCCGACCCGTCAGAATGGAACTAGTGCAAGAGTTTCTCTCTGCTCCCTACGAAGCAGGAGGCCTGACTTTGGACTGGCCGGCCGTGCCTCCCCGGTCTTGTGTTTTCGTGCCCCTTGTGGCCCGTCAGGGAGGTATTTTGGCAGCCGTGCCCATAGACTTCTTGGATGCAAGCCTCATTGCTGCCGGCCAGCCCGGGCCCATGGATTCCATCGTTGGTCCCTCCCTTCAGGTAGCTGCAGACCTTGCCGAAGAGCAGGAGGATGGCTCCCTGGCTCCCACAGGTACTCAGGCACAGGTCCTTCTGGTGGACTTCAACGAGGAAGTGGCCTCTTTCGTCTCTCGGTACGATCCTGTCACAGGGCCGGTGGAGGTTGCTTCTTTCGACTCCGCGAGTCCTCACCTGCAGCTCCACCACCCTGAGCTTGCTCGCACCTGGATTGCCTCCGAGGAGGGAAAGAGGATGGCATTTTACTCTGCGGCCGAGCCTGCCGAAGCCGAGCCCGCCGAGCCTGGAGGTCCCGCTCCTTCGGAGGCGCCCAAGCGCCGCCCAGCTCCGAAGCCCAAAAGGCAGACCAACGCTCAGCTGGCCGATCAGCTGAGCAGCCTGGTGGAAATGCTTCCCATGTTGACCCGCCAAGTCCAGGACCTCGCTTCCAGGCAAACAGCCCTCGAGAAGAAGGCGGCCCAGCCCAGCATAACGCCAGCCGCTGCTCTGCCGCCGCAAGTGCCAGCGCACAGGATGCCTTTTCCCCTTTCGGGTTCCCTAGCGCCTCCTCCAGAGCCCCTGGGTGCCTTAAGTGGGTTGCTAGGACCTCCTCCCAAGCTTCGGCATCCCTTGAGTGGCCCGCCGCCTCCCCCTCAGGAGTTAGGAGAGCTTGGGCTGGACGAGGCCACAGGGGAGCCTATATTGCCAGCCGCACCTCAGGATGCTTTGGCCAAAGCCATGTTACAGCAGAGCCGGGCCCTAGGAACCCTAGTCTCCCACCTGGTAGCCCAATCAGACGCCTCCGATCCCAGCATGGCTTCTCTAGGCGGTTTAGGGTTAGGCTCGCGAGGGGCCTCACGTCGGGAAAGATTGCAGGAGCAGCTGGCAGCCAGATCCGGATCTTTCTTGCTTCAGGTAGGCCAACAGGCCTTGAGACGGCTTGCTCCTTCAGAGCCGGCCCCGCAGAGCCGCGAGGACATGGTGTCCCGAAGGCCGCTGTTCACTTTATATGCGGAGCGCTTCGGAGGGTTTGGTTCTCAACGCGGTTTGGGGATAATGTTCTGGCTCGTCTGCAATATCCTGGACGCTATGGTGGCCGGAGATCACACAGGAGCCGAGGAGATGGCTGCCCTAGCGGCGATAGCCATAGAACAGGCAGCTCAGGATGCAGGGTCATGGGACGTGGCATACCTTTTGACTTTGATGGAGGATCCACCTCACCAGCTCTTTGCTCACCGGCCACAGTCTCAGAATCCCCGTCTTCGAGCTTTCGGGGGCCTGACGCCACAGCCTTGGGCCACAACCACTTTGTCGTACATCCGCGAGATCGACACGATTCAGTCGAGAAGGACGGAGGCCACATCTTCGAAGGCCGGAGCCCAGGACACCGAGACCCCAGCCAAGCCAAAGAGGCCAAGGTTCCCAAAACGTCCCAAGGACGCCGCCAGCTGACTGCACAGACTTTCCTTCAGGAGTGCTGGCCCCCTTGTCAGGAGCCTGCCCAGAAGGCTGCTGGGTCCCTCCTTTTCTTCCTGGGCCGCGGGCCCCTGGTGTCGATATCTCTATGAAAGGCCCTTTTGAAGGTGGCCCCAGTTTGCCGGAAAATCCACGCACCACGAGCCTGCCTTGCGATGACTCGGCTGGCATTCAAGCGCATTCGTCTTTGAATTCATTTCTCTCGAGCTCTGGCGGGCCTTCTTCGGCCTCGTGCCCGCCCGGCCTTGGGACTACAGTGCATGCTCCGTGGCTCCGTGTGCCGCTCCGGCTGCATCTCGTCCCCGACCTTCTGCCAGCAAACCCTGTCTGTTGTGCTTCAGAGCCTACGGCCTCAGCCTTGCAGCTCGGGTTGTTAGGGCTATATAGGGGGTCTTTTGGGGCTTTTGTTGGTTTGACTTTGCCACTCCTTTGGGACAAGTCCCCTCGTCCCTCTCACGCCCTTTTTCCTTTGCCGGTGCCTTTTCCCGGATGCTTCCAGCACATCCCTTCAGCAAAGGCCTCTCGTGTGAGGTCCCGTGTCGCTGCGAGGCGGGTTGCGCATGTTGCTGTGATGGCTTGCAACTTCCTCTTTGCCGGGGCCTCTCCTGTGCCACTCCGTTTGCTGACCCACCGGCCAAACAAAGCCCAGGCTTCGGCCATTGCATATGTGTACAAGCTTTGTAGGGCGTGCGGTGCCGTTGAGCCTTTTGTCGTTGGCTCAGCTGGGCGCCGAAATCTCAATCTTCTCTCTTCCCTCGGGCAATTGTGCGATGCCCTCACTGTGGCCGGTCCCTCTGGTGACCCCTACGGGCCCCTTTTCCATGGCGTCGCACCTTCTCAGCTCTCCGAGGTCTTGCAGGACACTCCTGCCTGCGGGGACGGCCCCACTTTTAGCCCTAGTGCTGTTGGAGCCGCGTGGCGGAAGTCCGGGATATCTAGGACTAAGGTTGCTCAAGGAAACCCTTTGCAGCCCTATGCCTCTCTTAATTCCACCCGCCTTAAAATCACCGGCCAAGGTCAGTGGGACCCTGTTCCTTTCCTCGGCACGGATCCTGATCTGCAGATGGCATGCCTTGAACCCGACCTGCTTCTCACTTCGCTCACTCCCAAGCCCGAGGAGGTGCCTGATCTCACCCGGGAGGACCCTCAGGAAGCGCTCCTCCTCGCGCTCAAGTGGGCCGACAAAGATCTCCTCTATCTGAAGGAGGATTACGGTGATCAAGTGTCGGAGTTCGACGCAGTCCGGGTTTTCAACTGCTATAAGAACAGCGAGTGTGATCGCCAGATTGGCGATCGGCGAGCCCGAAATTTTCGGGAGCGCCGGCTCCGTGGTCCCAGCGTTTCGTTGCCATGTGGACCTGTACTTCTGGGCATGTACGCCAACCCTGCCACCACTACGGCCAGGATCGCCATAGCTGATCGTAAAGATTTTTATCATCAGCTGGGAGTAGGCCCTCGAAAAGCCAGGCACAATGCGTTGTATCCGGCCTTACCGTCCGAAGCTTTGGTCGGCACCGTCGCTTTCGCTGACTTGGTCTCCAGACGCTGTGCTCCTTCCAAGCGGGCATCACTCCTTTGTGCCCCCCGGGACTGCGGCAAAGTCGTTGCATGTTTTCAGGCCATCTTTCAAGGCGACCACCTGGGAGTGGAGATAGCCACCTGTGCCCACCGGAACCTCCTAAAGGAGAACGGTTTGTTAGGAGGGACCGAGGAGCTGCTTGCCACACAGGTTTTTCCTGAAGGTTCGGTCTTCCAAGGCTTGGTGATAGACGACTTTTACTGCGTGTCACTTGAAAGCCCTGGCCTCCCTCCAGAGAGTTCGGCCGCCGTCCTTCGTCTTGACCAGGCCCTTGGCATTTATGCGAAGGACTCTCTGCTTGGCTCCTCTGAGAAGGATGTGCGAGGGGCCGATTGCGCGAAAATCGCAGGGGCCGAACTTGATGCCAGTGTTGGCACCCGGCGAGCTGGCATGATCCTTGCTGGGAGTCCTCGCTCAAAGCGTCTTTCGCTCGCCTCGATTTCCCTTTCTCTTGCCAGCCTTCCTGCAACCAGTCCTGAACTTCAGTCATGCCTTCTTGGGGGCTGGGTTTCGGCTTTCATCTACCGGCGTCCTTTGATGGCCGTCTTCGCAAAGTCTTTCGGTCTGGGCTCCTCTTCGAGCGATGCCGCTTTAGATTCTGCGTCCGACCTTGTGCCCTTGCCCGGTGGAGCCGCCGATGAGCTTACTTTGGCTGCCGCTCTGGCTCCGCTTGCTGTCGCCGACCTTGCTGCCCCTTGGGATCCCACTGTCTATGCTACCGATAGCAGCGAGGAAGGAGCCGCAATTGTCTCAGCCCACCTGGGTTGTGACGCCTCTGCTTTGCTTTGGCGGTCTTCGGACCGGAAGGGAGCTTCTACTAAGCTCTTGTCTCGCGCCGAAGCTGCTGTACGGAAGGTTGACCACATGCATGAGGACAGGCTTCAGGCAGGCGAGCTTTCTCATGACGGCCGTGTTGAGGAGGAGGCTTACGAACCTCAGGGTGCCTCACCTCAGCGACCGGTTGGCCTTCGTTTTCATTTTCTGCAGATCGGGAGCTTAGGCCGTGGTATCTGTGACGCGCTGTCAGGCCGCGGCTGGGTTGTCGGGCCCATTCTGCATTTTGATTTCTCCCCGCATTATGACGTTAAGGGCCTCGAATTTTACCGCTGGCTCCTTCATTTGCTGGATTCCGGTGCCTGCGACGCCTTCTATTTGCGTCCGCCAGGCCGGCTTTTCTCCGCGGCTGCGCTGCCGCTTCTTTCTGCACACTGTGGGTCTTCCCAGTCCCCTCGAACACCTAAAGCCAAGGATGCCTTGTGTGTTGCCAGACGCCTCCTGTATCTTTTCAGGCGCGCTGCTTTTACAGGGGCCCTTTGCCTTCTTGAGCAGCCCTCGGGCAGTCTGCTGTGCAGCTCACCGCAATGGGGTGCAGCCTCTTCTCTGCCTGAGGTCCTTGATGTTAGCACCGTCTCTTGCATGTTCGGTGACCCAGGGATGCGAGGCTTCCGCCTCCTCTCTCATAGACTGCCAGCCCTCGCTTTGGAGAAAAAGTGTTCCGGGTGCCACAGGCACGGGCCCACTGTTCCTATCCATGGCGGGGCTGCTTCTTTGCCTGGTCTCGCCGGTGCCATTGCGGATGTTTTCTCGAGAGGCCTCTGCCGAAGGCTTCAGCAACTCGATTGCTTCGACCTTGAGGCCTTTGGCCTCGAATCTGCCTTTGTCAATGATCTTGCGCTTGGCCTTGAGTGGCAGAAGGTGTCAGCCTGGCACTGGACAAAAGCCTCTCATATCAACTGCTTGGAGACTGAGGCTTATTTGAGGCTCTGCCAGAAAAAGGCCAGAAAAGGGGGACCCTCTCGGTTTGCCTCCCTCATTGATTCCAACGTTGCGCGCTGCGCCGTGAGCAAAGGCAGGTCTCCGTCCACTGCCCTGATGAAAATTCTCCGGAAGGTCTCAGCAACCTCCTTAGTTGCTGGCCTTTATGGTGCGCTCCCTTTCTGCCCTACGAGATTGATGCCGGCAGATGCCCCATCCAGAGACCAACCTATCGTTGAACCGGTCCCAGGGCCTTCCTTGCTTTCTTCTACTGAGTCTGGGCCCATCGCTGCCCTTCCGAGGCTTCGCCGCTGGGCTTCGAATTGGGCCCGGCTTGTCCTCAGAGTTTCCTCTTGGACTCCCCCCTGTGATCAGGACCGTTACGCCAAGATGCCTTCCCTGACCTATGTTCCTCCTCCTTTTGGGTTCGACTCTACTCTTGGGTACCCTGGTGAAGGCCCCCCTTCTCGTAGTAGGGTTTTCTTCTGGGGCCTCTTTTTCGGAGTAGGGGTTCTCCTGCCTCGGCGCTGCCATGGCGTGCTGGAGCCTAGGAACCCTGGAGACACAGCGAGGCTACAGCTGAGATTGGGCAGGCCGCTTCCTTCTGGTCGACCAGTTGAGCGAGTCACTCAGAGGAATCGCGACAAGCTCTGGGCAGGCTTCCTGTCCTGGGCCAGCCAACAAGGAATTCCAGAGGGCCTTTTTGATGAGGGTCCCTTTGTTGATGTCGACAGCATCAATGCAGTTCTGGCGAAGTTTGGCAGAGAGCTTTATGCTGCTGGGAGGCCTTACAGCCACTTTTCTGAAACTGTTAACGCTTTGGCGTCCCGGCTGCCAAAGGTCCGAAGGCTCTTACAACCTGCTTGGGATGTTGCTTTTCAATGGCAGAGGATGGAACCACATGTTCACCATCAAGCTATGCCTTGGCAAATCCTGCTTGCTCTTCTGGCTTCTGCCCTCTGTTGGGGATGGCTGGACGTGGCAGGTATCCTGGCACTAGCTTGGGGAGGCCTTGCTCGGATAGGCGAGGTCTTCGCGGCAAAACGGGGTGACCTTGTCCTCCCCGAAGACACTGGTGAGTCTTCTGGCTACATACTGTTGTCTGTTAAGGAACCGAAGACAAGGAACACTGCCGCTCGACATCAAGCTCTTCGCCTTGACCAACCTCAGCTTGTCGAGCTCGTTGCTTTGGCTTTTGGGAGGATGGTGCCCCTCCAAAAACTTTGGCCAATGTCTCCGAGCTCGTTCCGAAGTCGCTTTGCAAAACTCGTTTCCGTTCTGCAGCTTGACCTTTTGGAGGGCACAGGCATCAAGCCCCTCGATTTAGGCTCTTTGCGAGCCGGCGGGGCGACATGGTTATTGCAAGCAACTGAAGATGGAGAGCTGGTGAGACGAAGAGGCAGATGGATCAACACAAAGGTCATGGAGATATATATCCAAGAGGTTTCTTCTGCTCTTTTCCTACCGAGGCTTCCGAAGCCGGTGAAAGAAAGAGTCCTTCTGGCAGCTTCTTCTTTCCCCTCAATGCTAAAGCAGGCTTCGAGCTTTGTGGCTTTTGGTTTTCCTGGGCACACTTGGTATGCCCTCACGGCCGCTGGTAAGGCGTTGAGCCTAGCAGAGGATGGGTTCGACGGGTGAGGCCGGTGACTTGTGCAACAGCGCACTTGTACCACTGTTCGAGGAGGTGCAAAACGACGTTCTGCAGCTTAGGGAATTGTGAAGCCTTGTCAAGTTAAGGCTGAACTTGTGATCGGGCTGCTGGGCTCAAAGATGCCCTCCCGCCACGCCCGCCTACCAACGGCCGGTGACTTGTGCAACAGCGCACTTGTACCACTGTTCGAGGAGGTGCAAAACGACGTTCTGCAGCTTAGGGAACTGTGAAGCCTTAAATAGTAGGATCCTTCTTATAAGGACCCCAGCATAAGGTACCCCTTATTTTCGGAAACTCCCATATCAATTTTTAGGGTGTCTTTGCAAGAGCTCTGGCCTCTGGGGAGGAGCGAAAGGAGCGTGACGATTCGGACGTTTGCGGCTCAGAAGGTCTAGGAGTCAAGCTTCAAATTTCAGGTACCCAAACCCCTAAATCCTAAACCCTAGGCCCTAAACCCTAAATGCTGAAACTCGAAACCACCGAAATGCTGAAACCCTGAACCCGAAATCCTGAAACCCTAACAACCGCAGAAGGGCCTTGAAAATACTGGTAAACCCAGAAACCTGAGCGGGCAGAAGCAGCCATTGACGTGCTTGTATCGGTTTTTGCAAGATTCAGGGTGCAGGGCTTTGAGTTTGGGGTTTGGGGGTTTAGTTCGTTTTAATGGTGCCTTTGGTGTTCAATGCAGATCCCTGATCCAGGAGCCAATCCCCCCGAACAAGAATGTTGCTTACCCTGAACCCTAAACCCCCCAAATCCCTAGGCCCTATAAAATCTCAGGGCCTTGAGAAAGGGAGCCTCTTAATCCAGGGTCGACTGCACTTCTCTATGACAGCCAGCCTGGTAGTAAGTCCCTATTGGTTTAGGTCCCTAAACCCTAAACCGCCGAAGCCTTGAGGGGGGTTTTCGTTTTAATGGGCCCCAAAGCCCTATTCTAATTATCAAGGCCCCTGAACCCTAAGTTCGAGGCGTCTCCATGCTTAGAGGATGACTGAACCCTGTGGGATGTGGGTGGTTGGTCCTTAATATAGCACGGCACCGATTATTTAGGGAACACAAAAAGGGACCCTAATTTTGGCAACCACCCATGTGAGTTAAAGCCGAAGCTCTACCCGATCGGGATGGGTCTGTTGGGTTTCAGCCACTGGGCTTTCTCTCTAGGTTAGGAGTTTAGAGTTTGGGAGTTTGGGAGTTTGGGTTTGGGAGTTTAGGGTCTTTAGGGTCTTATTGTTGATTCTGGGGGTTGGTGACTTCTGATATGAGTAACCATAACCTGCATCATTGCTCTTGATACGGGTCGTGATACGGTTGATGATAAAGATCCTGCATTACCTTAAAGACCTTAAACTATGGGAATTATGGTATATTCCTTATTATGGGTAATGCAGGATTTATATCATCAACCCTACTAAACCCCTAAACCCTGTAGATTCCCTATAGATCCCTTAAAGGTACCCTTATAGATCCCTTTAAAGGAACCCTAGGATTTATGTCATCAACCGTATTGAAGCGCCAAAAACATGCACGTCTATACCGGCCCAAGGTCTGATTGCAGCCGAGCAAATGTGAGCCTGGGTTTAGGGTTTAGGGTTTAGGGGTTTAGGGTTTAGGGGTTTAGGGTTTATGTGCGACTCTGGTGTGTATGAGGTAGGGTTGTATCTGGGGTGTTGAGTGTATAACGGACTCTTATGAACATTGGTGAGCGTATACTTGGTGTAATTACAACCCTACTTCATGTAATTCGTGACTTCTGCCGAGGAGTGGATGAACGCTTTGGTTTCAGTCGCCGAAATAAGATTTAACGTTGCTCCGGAGATTTTGTGGCATGATGGACACATTTTGTGTACATGTGTGTGCATGTCTATATAAGCAAGTATAGTGTATATAAGTGTGTGTGTGTGTGTGTGTATTAATATATACACATACACGTAGCACATGCGCGCACACACGCACATTTCAGGTGTATTGGTCTCCCCAGCAGATCGCGTGAATTCGGCTGGAGGTCCTGACTTTAGGGTTAGGGCTTCAGGTCTTATACTTTACTGACCAGGTTTACGAAAAAGATCCTATCTATGTCCTGCGTTGACTGTTCCGGACTTGTCTTGATGACACTTGGTCATTTTTCTGCAGCACTTATCGCCTATTGTATCTCTAATCGATCCGTTGGAGTCGTGTCATCCGCAAATCCCAAGTGCTTGATAGTGTTCTACTGTCCTTTTATGTCCTCTTGCGATCCTAAGAAGGACCTTGGTTATTGCACCAGGACTGCAATAGGCAGGCCAACAGCACATGACTACAAACCTGGTTGTAACCCCCCCCCCAGAAACTCAATACATGTAAGCTCATGAAAGCAGCCAGCGGCTTGGTTTTGAGAACTTTCGGGGCTGGCCCCTAAACCCTAAACCCTAAATGCTAAACCCTAAACCCTAAGAGCATCTTCGTATGCCAGTGCCTGATCAGCCGGAGCAAATCTCGACAAGAAGCTGCTCGAGGCAGCGAGGCACAGATGTTCCGGGTTGTCCTTTGGGATCTTTTCCAATTCCCCCTACTATCTTGTAGAGAGCCATAATAGTCAATAATTGTCAAAGGGCTTAAAGGACAACTCAGTGTTCCAATTCGTGCATTCTGGCTCAACTCTTCCTGGGCAGATCTGGAAGGAGCAGTAGGGATAAGAGCTGATTCACCTAGGTAGGCCTTTGGGACATCTTATATTTTCCCTTTTTGGGCTTAGGAGGACATATTTACGAACATGTTTCAGAGGCTTTAAAGGGCCAACCTAGTCACCCTTGGGGTGTTGTCATGGGAATTTTTGTTATGAGGACTTGTGCCTGCTTCAGGGAGATTGGGATGGGCAGCGTGGACGGGCAAAGGCCTCGACGGTCCGAAAACCCGAGCCGAGATGCCCCTATCGGGCTCCAGGTTTCCCTCTGAAGCGCATTGCCCCGCAAGACCCCCCCAAAAAACCCTATTCTACTTGTTAAGGCCCCGATATTAGAAGCCTAGAGCCCTACTATAGATCCCTTATAGAGGATTCTAAGGACCCTTTTAAAAGGAATCCCTATACTAATTATCCCCAAAACCCAAACCCCAAGCGCCTCGGACCTCTGCATTCTTTTTGGGGCCCTAAACCCTGAAAGCCCCAAAGGCTTCCAAAGCCTTACACGTTTTTTTGTGCAGAACTCTTCAAGACAGCTCTCAACTTCTTTTCAAATCTGGCACACTAAAGAACCCTAAACCACAACCTGGCGATGGCCCAGTCAATGGCGTAGACCAAAGGCGGTGAAGTCTGACACTGTTTAGGGCTTAGGGTTTTGAGGTTCTGATGTCTAGTAGGGTTGCGGTGCTTGGATATTTTGGGTTCATGATTAAGGATCTATGGTCAGTACTAGGTTATCCCAATCTTTAGCAATTTCAGTGAACCCCTAAACCCCAAGAAAAACTCTAAACCCCTTAAGCCCTTAAGCCCTAAAGCTGTAAACCCTAAACCCTACAGGAACCCAGTGCAGATCAGGGCCAGGCTTGGAGCCCTTAGGCTGACTTTGGCGCTTCATTGCGAGGATTTTGCCCAGACGTGGTTTTTGTCCTTGCATCTCTGTGCAGAAAGCGCCTGAGCCGAAGAAAACGATCCTTCTGACCCCGTGCACATACGCGAATTAACGACTCTCGCTTTCGTCGCTGACCTCTGAGCAAGGCGATTGTGAGGTGTCGAACACAGTCGAAAGGTGCATACGCATGTCCAGCTCCCCTCAGCCACAGGCCCCTTTGGGATTGCTCCCCTACAACCACCACCGCTAGAGAGTACAGCAGCTCTTCTTCCAGCTTGCGGATGTGACCTCTTCCCAAGAGGCTCTCAAGCCCCTTAGTTAAGATACATGCTCGAAATCACTGTAAGATCTCTCGGATTGCAGGGTCTTGGAGTCTTCGAACTCAGTACAAAGCCCTAAACCCCGACCACAAACCTAGCGCTTTTGGAGTCTCTCGGATCTGCACAGACATGCAAGCCACGGAACACGGAGAGGTAGTCAAGCCCAGGCGCGTAGCACATCGGAATCAGATCGTGTTGGGTAGGGACTTCTGTGAGTTGTGCAGCATGGCTGGTTCCACTTGCGGAGCTTATGGCTGGACAGTCTCAGCATCCTGTACTGCCACTATGCTACTGATGGTCTTGGCTCTTCGGGACAACAGCCTTCTCCGTCTGAGTGCTGGATGGGGTCCTTTCGGGATCCGCATTACAGTACGTCGTTCTGATCGCGGCAACATGCAGCTTTCCCCAGCGCTGACGCAGCGTGCTGAGACTGCTGCTTCTACCGCAGAGGAGGATTTGCGGTACTTCGCTCACTTTCAGAGTGCCTTGAAACGGTACAGTTCAGATTCATCTGGGATCGAGCCTTCCTACTCCTGCCCAACTGAAGGCTTGGACGGAAGGGCGGATATGTCGGATATGTGGTTATGCAATGCGCGATTGCTAGATGCAAAGCAAGCTGGTCGAACTTGCGTGGTTTATTCCTTCGGCAGTCACGGATTTGACCAGTTTGTTCAAAATATGACTCGACATACGACTTGTGAGATTCACACTTTTCACCCTAGCTTGAGCAGCAGTGGAAGTTTGCAGCACCCATATACCATTGGTCCTATTGACAGCGAGCAAGGGGATATCTACATAAATGCCACGTCGCAGAAAATTCGAATGAAGCGTCTCAGCACCATCATGAGAGAGCTGGGGCACCATGTCGCAGACGTCATCAGGATAGATGCGCAAGGACTAGAGTTCCAGACCATCCGTGACATGGCTCTGACCAACTCAATTCGAGCAGTTCGTGAGATTCAAATTGAAGTGCAAGGGGGAGGCGGAGATAAAGAAGTTTGGGAGATGATGGACATCCTTAACAACCAGGGGATGGTTGTGTTTCACAAGGAGAACATCTTGAAAAGCACCGGAAGGGAGGGGGCGGCGGTTAAGGCGGTTAAATACGCTCTGACGCATCTGGCGCCACGTCCTTTTTTGTTGCAACCTGAGCGGGCTCGGCTTGTGGGGCAGGCCGGGCCGGCTCTATCCTCATCCGGCGAAGTGGACTCGGACTTCCTCTCAGAGTATGCGCATCTGCACAAGACAGAGCTCGCGATATGTGGTCGAGTACTTGTGTTCGACTGCAACTTGCTGAATGACTGTGGTGGTCTTGCAGATCGTATGACAGGCACGATAACAGCCGCGATGGTGTCCATTCTCACGAATCGTTCCTTCGTCCTGCACCAAGACTACTTTAACGAGTCTTTCCAGCCAGCCCACCCAGATGTCGACTGGCGTTGGAGCAAGCAGCTGGAGAATTGTACTCGCAACAGTCCAGTGTTTGAGTTTGTGAACAAAGACCATGCTTGGGCCGACTTTCTCGAGCACTTCGGTGATCGCCCCATCGTGCGCGTGAGCTCCAATAGGGGGTTTTTGCATGGGCTGCTGGACCATCCCAGGTACCGCATGCAACTTGCCAAATGGAGACTCACCAAGTGCAACATATTTGGACGAATGTTCGACGGTCTTTTCAAGCCCACGCAGGCTTTGACGAATACGGTGCAGAAAATCCTGCCGTGGCATGGAGATTTGGCTCAGAGGCCCATTTTGACCGTTGGAATGCATTTCCGAATGGGCGACAGGTCCTTTGACCCTAGAGTGGCTGCTCTCGCAGTTGGTCGTGACGTGATCAACTTGTGGGACCTGACGTTCAAGTGCGCAAAGAGCGCAACCTCTGCAGCAGTCGCGCTGTGGGGGGAACCAGTGAAGGTGCAGCACATCCTGCTTTACTCCGGACTGTCGCAGTTATAGCCCTGCCCGAGCACTAGCCACCTCGAAAGCTCAGGATTAGTCAGATGTTGTCGTAGAGGGCTCCGCAACTACTCAGGTCAATTATTGCATTAGCGACACAAGATGTGGAAGAGGGTGGCTGTAGCCGAGTGATACTGGCAGGATAAGCGCTTAGAGAAATGTTGGGTTATTTCATTACCAGGCTCTGGGTTCGGAACCATGCCATTGCATTGAAGGCTGTGCCGATCGTGCTCCGGGTGGATGGGCAGGGAGCGCGCCGGGGGCCGTCACATCGAAGCTTGCCAAAACCTAAAGTATGAAACTCAGCACTGACGAACGGGCGCGCGCGCGTGCAAGTGTGTCGTCTGGTAGGATTGATCGCGAGGCGTGTTTGTTGTGGATCGTGCGTTGGTTCTTACTTGGTGTGTAGTATTTTGTGTGTGCTGCTTTCAGGTTCCCCCCTTGAGGGAGTGGAGTGATGAAGGTGGAGCGACCGAAGACCAAGCGAGGTAAAAGAAGAGTAGAACGAACGAAACGCGGAGTGAAGGAATTGTGGAAGTAAAACTGCTTGCCACTGGAAAAGAATGATTGTGCAGGCATACTTGTATAGTACTTCCAAATGTTTCTGTGCATACCGACGCTAAAGCCGGCTTGAGTCGTGTCAAAGAGACCAGAGTTGTGTTGATTCACAGCATCTGTCGCTCTCCCTCTCTCACACGCTCGGCTCCTTTCGCAGCTTCCCCCAACGATTCCGCATCCAGAGATCTCTACATTGCAGAAGACCTTGAAAGAACCAAATGAATTGTCATCGCTTGCCATTCTTGGGGGTTTGTCTATTGTCTGGTGAACGGCGGTTTCCCAAAACAGTCTACGGTTTAGTGTTTCGGAGAATTGGAGTCAACATGTTCCACAAGCATCCTGGCAACTCTTGTTTGTGTCGCTATCTCGATCATCGGAACATGTCAGACCTTACATTTCCTGTTCTACGCAATTGGAATGTGTACAGCCTGGCTGCTTGGTTTTGTGATTCAGACGAGCTGTAGGATTCAGCAACAGCCTCCACAACAGTTCGAAAGAACTTTGGCACTTCCAACAAAGCAGTTGAAACCCATCCCGCATCAGTTTGGATCCATGATTAAGCTCTATGCTGTTGCTACACCATATATCGTGTGACACCAAAGATGTATAAGCCAAACACAAGAAACATGCACCAACAACACACATGTTTAGAAAATGCAATCCGACGACACAATGCGGATTAACATACTTACCTACGTAAGCCTGCCTACCTACCCACCTACCTACCTACCTACCTACCTACCTACATACCTCCATACTTACATACCTACATTCATACATACTTACATACCTACATACTTAAATGCCTAAAATACTTACATTCCTACATTCCTACATACTTACATACCTACATACCACATACCTACATATCTGCATACGTACATACGTACATGCATGCAAAGATACACACGTGCAAACACTGACATACAAACATACGCACATACGACAATACACACATACAAACTTACACATACATGCACATACATACGAATGCATACATACATGCATACTCCTACGTACATACATACATGCATACATGCATAGTCACATACGTATGTACATACATACATTCCTACACATGCCTACATGCATAACAAGGAAAGAAGCAAACAAGCAAGCAGGCAGGCAGGCAAGCAAAAAAAACTAGGAAGCAGGCGAACCTAGCAAAGCAAGCCAGGCGAGCCAAGTGAGCAAAGAGAGCCAAGCGAGCCAGCTAGCCAATCGAGCAAAGCTCGCAAAGCAAGCAAAGAAGCACGCAAGCGAGAGAGCCAGTGAGCAAGCGAAGGAGCACACAAGCAAGAAAAAAAGCAAGCAAGCAAGCACACCGGCAAACGAACAAGCAGCGGGCCAGTTCCTCTTGCAAATAGGCCCAAACAATCACGAACGCACGCATGCACGCGCCCGCCCTCCCGGCCGGCCAGCCGACCGACCGACCGTGCAAAATTCAATAGGACAATCTACACGTATCCGAGCAACCCAGATCGATCACTTTGCCCACAGTGACACACTCAAGCAGACATCCCTTTGTGACGTGAGGCCGATCTGTCCAGTGTTGAGCCAATCCCATTCGGCACCACAGCATTCATAAAACATGGACATATGTAACACAGTCCCCTGATCCTGACTTCAGTCGGGGATCATACAGACATTTAACCATCACACACGGCAGCGGCCGCGAAGCGATCAAGATAGACTCGAAACAATAACAAGCGAAGCTGCAAAGTATCTTTGGCCTCATTCAGGACATTGTGGCTCGATTCAGGATGACATTCGAGTCGTTGCAGGAAGCATTCGGAGGCCAGTTTGCACTGTACAAACTTCTCAGCTTACCACAGAAGAAATCCATTCAACGTTTCAACATCAACTTCTCCTTGCAAAACAGTTTGCGGTCGCAGGAATTTTTTGTCGCAGGCACTCCTTAACTTACGCGCCAGTTCAGTGCGATCACCTGACTGTGCCCACGGCAATCTGCGCGCCTGGTTCCAGAGCATGGGCAGTCTGGGCGATCGCATTGACGGTGGCTGCATTGATCACTCGAGCCCTTGGCATGGGCCGGTGCTTTCCAAGCATTGGCTGCCACATTGTCGTCGCGTTCGTAGATCTCGTCTCAGGTGGAGCAGTCATGCATCAGTCCAGCTCCAATAGCCTGGTTCAGTGGCGCGAGAGTGTGCCGCATCAGGCGCCGTTCCAGCAAGGATTTTCCAGTGGTGGTTGCAAGGAGTCCCCACGCGATGATCTCATTCAAGCTCAACAGATCTTCGGCTGGGGTAGCACATGAAGTGAGCACTCGCACAGTGTCCAGCGCCAGTCATTGCTGCCAACTCCGTCCCATGTATGAATACTGATGTGGTCAGTGACCTGCTTGTTAAAACAGTTGGCAAGCTTCGTTCTGGCATTGCCGCCAGACGCACCAGCAGTCCATCCATGAATTGCCTCGGCACGTGTGCTCAGAGGCAAACAGATCCAGTCGTAGACATTTACCACCAGGTCGGTCGCATTGTCTTTCGCCTTTTCGCATGCTAGTTCACTTTGAGGAACAGTGGCTCCCCTATTTCGTTGTGACCCAGCTGGTTTAAATCATCCAGTTGTTGGATCCATTCTGCTCTGGGTTGATTCCCAATCAGGACATTCGCATTCTCAAAGAGCTCATTGTTGGACCATTGCTGTGCTGGTCCGGGTGATCAAATCTGCAGGCGGTCAGGATGGACAGCATTGGGGCAGAGTTCTCATCCCACTCCTCGGTACACGCTCTGAGCAGTCGGTCGGCGAGATCATTCGCCCTCTCAACCACTCTCTCGCGATCATTCTGGACCACGGTCATGATGTAGCAGTCCTACTTAGTCCAGACACGGGTGATGTCACAATCACAGTCCGTTGCCGTGTCGGCATTGGACACTTCTACCCCCCCCCCCCACCCACCCCCACACCCACACCCACACGCACTTGGCACAGTTGTGTCTCTTCTAATGACGTAGCTCCTTTAACATGACTTAGCGCAGCAGCTGCTAAGGCATTGCTAAGCATTTAGCAACTTCTACGGGCCTTTTTTGCGGGCCCAGAATGGCTAAGGGACCAGGAAAATATGCAACAAACTTGTGTGAACCCATGAACACACACACTCATGAACAGACACTTCGTGCAAAAGCTTTTGCTGGTGCAGTGCAAACAGGACGAAGACAGTGTATGGCTGTTGGTATGCGATTGTGTTTTAGAAAAACATGAAGAAATCACAAAGGTGTGTACAGCCTGGACTGCTTCAGCTGTTAAGTTCAGAAATTCACGGATTTAGGATTTGAGATGCGAGATGCAAAAACTTGCGGCCATGCACAAACTCTGGAAATAGGCTTGTTTGGAGCAAATCCCCGGGACTATTCGCATTCTTTCTCAATGTCACAGCTCTAGCCGACAGTAACTGCGGAGTGAATTCAATCAATCCCCACAATCATTACAAGAGGAATAACTTACTCATGTCTATGCTTCAATTAACGCAAGGACCCACTCACTCAAGCATCGATTTTAGCAATCTGCGGAACCAACTCTTGACTGCATCCTAACCCATCACCTCACGTGCAATGATGTTGACCTCCAGCAACTTCTCTCTCGACGTGTAGGGCGATCCAAGGGACGAGCCTTCTGTCTTGGTCGAGGGCCAGTGGAATGAGTACCATCTTCACTCGAAGCGGGCATAGCATTAACTGGAACGCTTGTGGAATGCCGCAATGAAGAGGATGCAGAAGACATCGGGGGGGGCTGGGGGACGAGGCGCAGGGTTGGGGTGAAATGGGGCACTTAGCGGGGGTGGTCGGGGACACCGGGCTTGGTGTTGGAGGCGTCAAGGAAACGGTTGGTCGGAGCACGCACGCACACATGCACGACTGCACGCTTTCACACAAACACAAGCAAGCACAAGCACAAGCACAAGCACAAGCACAAGCACAAGCACAAGCACAAGCACAAGCACAAGCACAAGCACAAGCACAAGCACAAGCACAAGCACAAGCACAAGCACAAGCACAAGCACAAGCACAAGCACAAGCACAAGCACAAGCACAAGCACAAGCACAAGCACATGCACATGCACATGCACATGCACATGCACATGCACATGCACATGCACATGCACATGCACATGCACATGCACAAACACCAACAGACATACAAACGCACACACATACATACATGCATACATACATACATGCATACACACAGTCGCAGAAATACACACATGCTCTCCTTCTAATGCTTGCTGGTCAGTGAGATGCGGTAATCGAGGTCGGCAATGTAATCTGTGGAAGCAAGTTCGTAATCGGTGGAAGTGAAAATGAAGCAAAATCCGTTGCAGACCTTCCCATGCCTTCGGTATATAAGAGTCGCAGCGTGCGACGGCGAGAATATTTCATCGAAAGATTGCGACATACCAAAAAGCGAAGACAACGGAGGAGACGACGATGCGGACGTATGCGATCGGAAATAAGTGGGGATTTCGAACAGCGTCGAATACCCGGCGCGACGACGGCTAAGTGCATCTCGAATGTGTAAATAACTTGCGCAAGAATAAGGTCACTGATTCTAAGATTGTTCGGTTGTAGGCCGGGATCCGAGAAACAAGCTTTGACAACGCATGAAACCATCGCAACAGCTTGCTGGCCCGTGGGCAACAGAAAGATCCCCCAATCCTCAACCAACCCATGCGGCTGATGACAGGTGCGCTTTTTCGTCATGACAGACCACGCTGGGCTCAAAAACTACATCCGTGCCAACCACAGCAAGGATCACGTGATGCTTAGCGACATGGCGCCGGTACACATCAATGGAAAGGAGTACCGCAAGTATCACAAGGCAGACGACACGAACCATGTAGGGCAGCGCCTCGCTGTAATGCAGACCTATGCGGAGTGGTACGCATATTCACTGTCCAATCTGTTCATCCTTTCGCCAAGACGATCTGGTTTCAGCCGTTTGTCTATCATGCGTGCCTTGGCTTCGAGGCATCCGCGCTTTCCCGAATACGGAGTGATCCGTGCAGAGGCTTGTTCCACCATGGGCCGTGCTTCTTGCAAGGCGCTTGGTCAAGAGGGCGCTAAGGTATTGTGAGGAACAAACTGACGTCTTTGTGCTTACCTCAGGTGTGCAAGACGTAAGGCACGTCAACGTCAGAGGGTTTTAGCATCTTTTACCCGGCGTCCAGATGCAACAGTACCGCTGGAATCTAGTGATCTGGTGTTTCGGTTTGTGTCTACGATTTGCAGCAACAGGTGTGGGTAATCAAAGACACAGTGAGCACGTAGTGGTACGTAGCAGCAGCAGTGACAGTTGTAGCAGCGGTGGCGAGACAATGGCAGTGGCATAAGCCCTCGATTGAACGATTTAAGGCCGTGCAAAACCATGCAATGCACCCTGAACCCAACCCCTTTAAGCTAAATCCCCCGAGGTCCTGGAACCCTAAACCCTTAAAGTTAGGTCCCCCGAAGATCCTGAATCTTCACTCTCCAAGCCTCGGAACTGGCACCGAAAGCATGAAATCCCGCAGCCCTTACCCCGAAAACCCAAACAGAAACTAGCTTTAAGGGCTCGTTTCGGAGTTCTACAAAGATGCTAAAAGAGTTCGATAAGGGATGTTGTTCTATAGGGTTTAGGGCTTAGGACTTTGCGGTTCTGTCGTCTAGGGATTAGGGTTATTGTCAATTGTGCTTTGATGTTCTGTCAAGGATCTATGGTAAGTACTCAGGTTTCTTAACTATTAGGCAAGTTAGATCAACCTCCTGAGCACGAGCCCGGTGCCCATCAGGGGCAGGTCTGGAACCCGGCTTTACTGGCCCTGAACTCCATAGAACCCCAAAAGCCCTATCGAAACGTAGCACGTAGGTCTCAGGTTTGCAGATCAAGCGACCCGCAAAACTTCTTCCTGAAGCTGGCATGCTGCTCAAAGCAGGCGTTACGACCCGCAAGCAGAAATTTTCCAACCACTACTCCGCACTAATGCAAAGATCAAAACCTGCAAATCCCCAGCCTTCTTACCCCAAGCCTGGAAATCTGAATCAGGGGCCACCTTCGTGTTTACGGGCTCTCCAAGCACATACATGTAACCCTTCAAGAAGATTCTGATAACACGGTGCTCGGCACAGCTCCATGTGCCGCTGCCCGGGCTTGTGCAAGCCATGCTGGCCATGTTGCTCTCTCTGCTTGCTGCTGCCTCTTTCGTGCGACGTGCGCGATTTGCACGACTGAGTGTAACAGCTCTGCAAGCTGCAGGGACCATGACTACCCTCCATCAAGCCGCCGGCTTCCACATCGCCAGCTACGGCAATGGCCAACAGCCCTCGCAAACGCAAAAAGGTCTATATGCTTGGGAATTCGGTGACGCCACATTATTGGTTTGAAGTTTGTGAGCTGGCTAAAAGCGGTAGTACGTCTACATGAGCCAGGTCCTTAAGAGCAGAAGGTGTGCAAAGAAATTCTGGGCACTAGTAGCTGCGACCTCTACTGTGGCTCAACGGTAGTGTGTTTCTTGTGGAAGAACACACTGAGCCTGTCTGCAAGTGCAGATGGGCGTGATGCCTGCAAAAGGCACTCTCCTGTGGGGTCCACATCCGAATGCCTGAGCACTCAACTTAAGGGTGCCCAGAGCATGGACTTGCTGGTTGTGGGTTCTGTGGCAGCCGATGACTCGTACATGATGGAGAGACGGAGGTAAACAATTTGCAGACTTTCTGCCTCGCTGAGAGGAAGCGCTGAACCTCACCAACTTTGCTCCGCTGCTCCGGATGTTACATGAGGTGTTTCCTGGCCTCGTCGTTTGGCAATCGTATCCTTTCGTACTCAGAGAAAGAGACTCTCACAGAAGGCTGCTACCGGAGCATGTTGAGGCAATCCACCGAATGAACGCGAGGCCGGAAGAGGCCATCAAATCGTTTCAAGAAGGTTAGGCGACCGCCTGCGATACACGCATGCTTTTCGATGATTTCTGGCCGTTGCAGGTAACGCATGCAGATATGTACTGAGAGTTGATTCACCATCCAGGCCCGCTGTCAAACATCATTGTTCATCAAATCATGGATCAATGGATGCACCATGCTGGCGTCTGCCATTGACTCGACAGCTGCTGTGCGTCCTGCCGACAGGCAGCTTGCAATAAGCTTGCGCTGGCTAGTGAACAACTCGATGCCCAACCTTTCTATCACGAAGGCTTAATATTCATGGTTTACGCAACACCAGGTGGAGATCTTACATCTAGTGTGCCGCAAGTTTGCTGGGGTTTCTTATGCATGTGAGCTGCCAGCGTTAACACCCCACAAAGCCCTTTAACAGCGGATCCCAAAGTCGCAACCCAAGAGAGACTGTACCAGGCGCCGCCCTCTACACCCAAGGCACCTCCAAGTGGTGCAAGCGACTGGCCGTCCCTTGGTTCTGAATCCGTAGATTCAGGGTGGACGGTCTTTTTGAGCGAAGGTGAGTCCTAAGGCCTCAAGCTAGAGCGATAACCCCGCAAGCCTTCAAACTCAAATGCCCTACACCCTAAACCCTAAACCCTAACTACACCCTAATCCCCAAACGAGGCGTTTCTCCCACGGTCGAACTCCGAGCAGCCGCTGCCCGCCAAAGTGGGTGAAAACGACTCCGCTTTGGCCCTTGGCTGTCTGACGCGATGAGCTTGAAAGTCTTGTGTTGGGAGATCTAAGTGACGAAACTCCATGCTGTCGCTGTCGTCCTGAGTTGGGTCCGACACCCTGGCTTTTCTTGGTTGAAACCGACTTCGTGTTATGGGCCATACCACTGAACCATGGCACTTCCGTGAACATTTGTGGGCCAATAGCTTGCAACTTCTATTAGGCCGTCAGGTTTGCCATGTCTGCGACAAACCCTGAAATCAAAGCCCTGAAGCCCCGAACCCACTCCGTCCGCAGCCTTTTGGCCCTGCCTGCGTCGTTAGCTCGTTTGCTGCCTCGACTTTTGTGCATTGTGTCTCATCTTTGGGTTACCAAAGTGTGCGACATCCCAATGCCGAACGCAATGCCTATTGATGTCGAGGAGACGAGGCAAGGTAGTTAATCCGTGAAGCGCTTGAGAGGTTCGGTTTTTTCGGTGTTAGGTTCATTCCTGCTAGTACAACTGCGCCAACTCAAGCAGGAATCCGGATTTGCCGAAGCCAAGTCTCGACAGACAACTTCCCGTCGTTTACGTTCTTGTACTTCTGGCTGGACGTTTGTTGTTCTTTTCCATCGGAAGTTGTTGTTCTGGCCTAGGGCCTATGTTTAGTCACGATGTCAAGTCTCACTGAAGGCGTAAGTGTTCTGCGTGGAAGTCCACGGCACCCGAAGCCTGCTTGGGTTTAGGGTTTAGGGTTTAGGGTTCAGGGTTTAGGGTTTAGGGTTTAGGAAGCACGTGATAGGGTTCAGGGTTTATAGAGGTGTATGGAGTACCTGACCCACACGCCAAGCCCAAACATTGCCTCATATCTTACCTTTTACATCCCTCGAACCCTGCTCGTACAACTCAAGCCTAAGCCCTAAACCCTAAACCCTCAAGCCACAGGAACAACGATTTTGATTCCGACGGCGAGCACGGTGAGGATGCCGGGCTTGTCACAAACGTTCCGCAGCCGCAACAGGCCTTCCAGGCGGCGGGGGGGGGTGGGTGGTTAGGGATTGAAGCCCTGTCACAAAGCCTATAACTGCCAGCCTAAACCTCGAATCTTGAATCTACAAGGCCCGATAGAGCCCAATAATCCCCATAAGAGCTCGTCACCCAAGCCTTATACCCTGCTTGGAGGTTCATGGGTAGTTATAAATGGGGTTATAAGTCCCCTAGTAGGGGTTATAACCATAGTTACCCCAATACTCAAAGCCCCTAAACCCTAAACCCAAAACCCTGAACCCTAAACCCTAAACCTTAAACCCTAAACCTTAAACCCTAAACACTCTGAGCCAGGGCCGTCAGCGTCTTGGAGTTCCCTTCGTCTTCGGTCTCGGCTTCATCGGATACTTGGCTCTGGGTTTCGGGTTTAGGGGTTTAGGGTTTGGGGTTTGGGGTTTGGGGTCTGGGTTTCGGGTTTGGGTTTTAGGGGTTTTGGGTTTGGGGTTTGGGGTTTAGGGTTTCGAGTTTGGGGGTTTAGGGTTTAGGTTTGGGGTTTAGGGTTTAGGGTGGTACGTGGGCTAGTGTATAGCAGAAGAACGCTACTATAGAGGCCTCAATAAATGTCTGTGCTATTTTATAAACCTTTCGGGGTTCCGTATGATATTTATAGCATAATGGGCGCCAAAACCCTATTCTAATTATTAAGGCCCCTATATCATTATCTAGCGGGTTGAAGCTTCATGGCAATGCATGTGTGCTTGCATCCACGCTGCAGAGCCTGCATGCAACAACGACCGAGCTCTACTGGTATCGACTGGATTTTTTCAAGCTTTTGTGGTATGTATGTATGTACGTATGTATGTATTCATATAACTTAGAAATGTATCTGGTGGTATTGGCAGCGGCATAGTGGTGGTCGTAGTGGCAGGCAGCAATGTTGCGAACAAGGGTTTGGAGGGACGCACTGGGTTTGCAAACCCTAGTGGGTGGATGGATGGACGGGTAACGATGGATGAATGGATGCTTGCAGGGGCAATTGGCGGGTGTGGGCGCGTTGGGAGTGGGGGACCAGGGGTGCGTCCAGGTCCCTCTACTTTCGTGTGTGTGTTGGGCTCTTAGTGTTTCAGGCAATGCGCCAGGAATATTGTCGGTTCTTGTGGGTACCTGGAGCAGCAGTTTCAAACTAGCCGGAGCCTGTGACGGCATCTCTGCAGTTTTCAATGGGTACTGGTACCATTCATATTCATGCCATTGTGTTCTTAAAGGCTGAAGGATCCAGGTGCAAGGAATGCAGTCTCAAATCTGTAATCGTAGAAGTCCGACTGGCTGCATGATGGGTTGGCATGCCAAACTATGGTCATCTGTGAAAGCGCCACCTCCCAAACCCGACCGCGGAAAGTATGGACGGAGAGACGGTCAACAATGGGACCAAATCTTGCTTGCTTCCTGGTTGTCAGCGCCGGCAAACGTCTGGCAAGGGGAGCTAAGAGGATGAGAAGAAGTCAATCTGGACATCGACGCCTCGGCGGATGCAAAGCATCAACTGTTGCGGCCTGTCACGGCATGAGAATTCAATCCAACAGCTGATTGCAGTATGTGACAGTTACCCGCACATGTAGTAGAGCACCAAAGCACTAGCAGTCCGTAGTTTAAGACTAGGTTGTAAAAGCCCACAGAAAAGTCATATGGCTTTATTTGGAGCTGCTCGTCAAAATCAAAAAGCCGAGCACTCGCCAAGAGTATATCGCATTTCTGCACAACTACTGTTGTTTTTGTAGGGAGTCACCGCGATGAAGCATACTGTTACATATTCATATTTAGTATTTGTATATGTCTTATTGTATATACGCACTACATGTATACATGTACGTACAAGTGTACGCATGTATATGTAGCTCTCTCGAGGTTTGCATGTCCGGATGAATACATATGTATATCTATGTCAGCAGATCTGTATATGTATGTATGTATGTATGTATGTATGTATGTAGGTAGTTACGTAGGTATGTACGTATATGTGTATGCATGTATGCATGTAGGTAGGTATGTATGTATGTTATATGAACCGTGTTGAGTAGCATACACACATACATACATACCGGCCTACATGTGTGTATATATGGTGTATATATATATATATAACATGTTTTTTCATTTTTGCATACTTACGCACATCATACATGTAGGTTCTGATAGCAAACTGTATACAGCTGTACGCAACAGCTTTCCAGGATTAATGGTCGCGAGGTTTCATCAATGGCAGCAACTGGAACAGCCCTACCCTATTCCCGCTTTCGATCTGAACCGTGCTACACAGCTCCAACAAGAGCGACCGACGCTGTGAAGGGGTCCAATTCTTGCGAGACTTCCTGCAAGGGCTCGCGATCTGTTACTTCGCCTTCCGCCCCATCCATGATGACACGAGCGTGGAGGCAGAGAGCCATGATCTGTAGGCTGGAGGGTTTCAGAGTATAGGGCTCGCGGCTTAGCGTTTCCTTAGTGCCGTCGCTGCTCTTGGTGCTTGTTGGGTCGGTTTTCGAATTTTAGTGAATTTTCAGGGCTCGTTTGGTCACGATCAGCACAGTTGTTGTGTTGCTGGCTTTCTCGATCTCGTCGTCGTCGCTACAGCCACTGTGCCAGTGTATATCTCGTCCCCTGAACCGCATACCACCAAACTAGATCCTAGGCCTTGAACCTTCCAAAATCTCCAGGCACGACCCCAAAGCAGTGATACGAGAGAGCAGGAAGCTTCACACCGTGAGGCACATTGCGAAAAACGGACAGAACAGTGCTTCAGCCTGAAGAATAAATTGACTTATGGAATTATGGTCTAGGGTCTAGGGTTTAGGGTGCAAGGCGTGTACCTGAACTATAGCACCCGTACAAACATGCACAAGCCCTTTAGGCCTTAAACCCGTAGCCCTGAAGCCCTGAACCCACGCACGGCGTGTCGAGTCTGCGACGAGGAAGTCCTTTCGTTGAGCGAGCAGCTGACCCGCACGAAGCAAGAGGCGGGCCAAGAAGGGGCTACTTGGAGGTTCATGGCTAGTTATAAGTGGGGCTCTAATTAAGGTAACTATCGTTTATGACCTCTATTAGGGGACTTCTAAGCCCAATTAGGGTACTGTTATAAGTGGGGTTATAGTTTAAATAACTATGGTTATAACCCCCATTAGGGGACTTCTAAGCCCAATTATAGCTATCCATGAACCTCCAAGTAGGGCCTGAGGGGATCAGGGCCGAGCCTGTTGGTCTGAGGTTTTGGGTTTGAGGATTTCGGATTCCCGGTGTCTCTTGTGCTACGGTTGATGATATAAATCCTGCATGTCCCATAATAAGGAATATACCATAATTCCCAGAGTTCAGGGTCCTTAGGGTAATGCAGGATTTATATCAATTTATATCATCAGCCGTAGCAGTGGTCTCGGATGGGGCATGCTGAGACCAAGAACTCGGGGGTGCAGTGAGGAAACCCGCGCAGCCTGCCCTCCTCGCTCTAGGAACACAGACCATAGGCGCCCGACTCTGGACCAAGAGTCCTGACTCTTCAACACCAGGTGATGCTGGCTTTGGAGCACGCCGAAGGGAGGGACGAAAAGATAAAGCATCACCTGCGAACCTTGGACACGCTATACAACGTTTTGCAGGCCTCTTCGCCTGAGCTCAGGGTTCAGGATTAAGGAGTTTAGGAGTTCAGGGTTGAGGGAGGGTTTAGGATTGAGGGACGAGGGTTTAGAGGCTTAGGGGTTTAGTTTTAGAATTAGCATTAGTGCTACTAGTAGTATTAGTAGTGGTACTAGAATTAGTATTAGTATTAGGGGTTGGGAAAGATCCCGGGCTTTAGGTTCCAACTTCTTCTTCGCCAGCTTCTGTATGTCTTTAGATTAGGCCCTGCCTAGAAATGCTCTCTTTAGACCGGTGGGCCTGGCCCCGTGGGGTCATGTTTGGGTGTGAATTAGAACACGTATTTGTAGGGTCTAGAACACTTGTTTCTGGGATTTAGGACACGTATTTCTGGGGATTTGGAATACTTATTTTCTGGGATATAGAACTCGTAGTTCTGGGATTTAGAACACTTTATTTTTGAAGTTTTGGAGCACTTGTTTCTGGGATTCACAACCTATTATAGAGCACTGATTTCTGGGATTTAGATCACTTGTTTCTGAGGTTTAGAACACCAATTTCGATGGCTTTAGACAACTTATTTATGGGTTTAAGAACACTTGCTTCTGTCGCATTGGAGCACTTATTTCTGCGGCTTAGAACACGATCTATCCTGGCCCGGAAAAAGTTTATTTCAGTGGGAAGTTGAACACTTATAATCCTGGCCTGGTGAACACTTCCCTTGGTGGGAAAGTGAACACTTACAAAACCCGGCGAACACCGTTCAAGATTTAAGTGTTCAGTCGTCCAGAATTAGGCATCCAATCGTCCAGAATTAAGTGTTCAAATCGTCCGACTTAAGTGTTCAACCGTCCAGAACTAAGCGTGATTTAAGTGTTCCGTCGTCCAGATTTAAGTGTTCATTTCTGTACCAGAAACCACGTGACGAGTTATTGTTCGAGGAACCCGCTGATTATTAGACCTTCGTGATGGTACAGGTGCAGAGGGTGCTGGCGATGACAGCGACAACGAGGATGAGGATGATCATGAAGACAGGTATCACGATGATCGAGGTGATGATGCTGATGATGGCAAGAGTGATGATCGGGAAAATCACCATGGTGGTGGTCGTGTAAGACCAAAGCTTTGGGTCATCGCTGTCGTTTTCGTCGTTCGTCCGTCCTCCTCCTCCTCCTCGTAATCCTCGTCGTCCTCGTCGTTTTCGTCGTTTTCGTCGTTGTCGTCGTTGTCGGTCGTCACGACTTTAGCAGAGTCGGTGCCAGTCTTCGTGTGAGTATCACTGCTCTACTGCCGGGCAGCTGCCGCGACGTGCTGCTGCTGCGGCTGCTGCTTCGATGGGTACGGCAAATCCTTTTCGAACACACTTTGTGCTTGTTGATCGTTGAAGGTCAAGAAGTTCAACCGCATTGTGCACATGAAGACAGCGAACAAAGTTTCGTGTGCCTTCAACGTCGTGGAGGCAGTGGGCATCGTTCAGAGGGTTCAATGGCCGGCTTGAGCCAGTGCTCTACTCCCAAACTCCTGCACATTCTGCTTTCAGTCTGGAAGTGCCTCGCATTGCTTGAGCCCTTCAATTTCTGGAATCTCCAAATTCACAGACGAGGTGCGTGGTAAGATTAGCAGGGCGGGCCACGAAGCCTTCTGCCCTACTCCTGTGCCCTTAACCTGTTCAGCCACCCCAATGCCTTAACCGCTGCGACCTCCCGCCGTAGCTTCGACAAAGCCCATGAAGAGGACAGCTTTTGCTCCACTCTCGGCCCGAAGCCGACCGGAAAACTC